AAAAAAGTGAATGTACTTAGTTACTTTCCACCACTGATATTGCACAACCTTCTAATCTACAGCATGATGCAACATTAGTATTCAAGCAGTAAAAACACAATATATAATAGTATCATATTTACACACGTTGCTGCACTTCATTACTCATTCAAACAACCTCATAGCCTGGCCTTGCATGGGGTGTTATGAAATAAAAGGTCCATTTATTTTCTGACCTGTGTCACACAACATCAAATGAATGTTTGTGTCAAAACATCACATATAGACATAATCAATACTGTTGCTTAATATGCATTTTGCTCACAGTTTACTAGGGTCTGAATGCAGGGCCTACTTTCTGTGCAGTTCTGTCACAGTGAGCTTTTCCCTCTCACCTTCCCTCCCTCTTTCTCACCCCGCCCATGCTTTTCTCCCCTATCAGGCCTCTTCAATCTCACTTCTCTTTCCCGTATTCCCTCCATTTCTCCACCTCTCTCTTTGCAGTCCTCCTCCTCCTCTCTCCATCCCCCATTTCATCTCCCTGTTGGCCTCCATCTTTCCTCTCTCGTTTTCTAAGTGGCTCCAAAGCCGTCTTGGCTCATCTTTGTCCCTGTATGCCTTCTTCGATGCTGCAGGGAGGAGGCTTTGTCTGTCAAAAGAACCTCACAGATTATTGTCCTGGATTACTTTCCTTTGGGTTTTTGACATCATGCTGTGTGCTGCTGCAAACTGCATAGAGTCACTCTGTTGAAGAGTCAAACAGGTTGAATAGTTATCGGAGCAGCGCCGTTGATATCTTCCCAATAACACTTTGTTGTTTAGTTGTTCTGTGAAATGCCGACACACTTCTTTGCATTACTTTTACCGACAACAGACTGCTCCTCATCGGGGTTTACACATATATTCATTACCTAAACAGGAAGTTGATGGTGGCTATAAGTTTCCCTGCAAAATATGATCATCATAAAATATGCTACAATGGATTTGCACGAGAGTGGCAGAATATAAGAATACTTGCAATTCAATGATGCGTAAAGAATATTGAATTTGTAACTTGCAGTGGTTTAATTAAAACAATTATTCAAGCAATGTAGTCTTGGCTTTACATAGGGTTGGATGAGCCATAGGAGACCAATTAAAAGAAGGGAAAAACCAATTAAGCACAGACTGAGATATCGTTAGTCTGTACTGTAAGTCTCTAATGTTCTGAAAAATAAATGGATATACATACATACACGACTTTATTAAACTCTGCCCTGCTTGCATTTGTAGTCTCGAGGCCGAAACAAAGATAAATGGTTAAAAAAACATTGGTACACGTTCTTTAAGTTCTTTATTTCTAAGAAAACTATCAACGGACGGGAAGTAAAACACATACTATATGCTAAATTGTAATTTTTTGCCAACAAACTCAACATGCAACAGGCCAACTTTAACATTTAGAAAGCTGATACCGACTCTCTTGTTACCGTGACATCCACGTATTCTTAATCCTCAGGTGTAATGTACGTTCAAGGCTCTTACATTGATTAAAGTCTTATGGTAGATGTAGTATCCTTTGTTCTTGTCTTCCATTTCTTTTGGGGGCTTTGTTGACGTTGCAAATGGAGAAGTCTTAATACATCTGACAGAAAAGTGTAATCGTCATCATTCTCCTCTCGTCTCCGTTGAAAGTATTTTGCTTTTCCTTTCCTCTGATCTTCTCTCTGTCTTTGATGATGTGCAGCTCAGTCTAAATGACTTCTCTGATTCCCTCAGGTGGATGAAATGAGAGCAGGTATCCTCTCTCTCTCTCTCTCTCTCTCTCTCTCTATCTCTCTCTCTCTATCTCTATCTCTCTCTCTCTCTCTCTCTCTCTCTCTCTCTCTCTCTCTGATTCACCGCTTCAAAGACATGACTGTTGGTGTTCTGTGTGCGCAGGTAAAGGCGATCTGATTGGCTCGGACTCCCTGACGAAGGAGCAGGTGATTAAGACCAACGCTAACGTGAAGGCGCTGACGTACTGCGACCTTCAGTACATCAGCCTGAAGGGGCTGCGCGAGGTCCTGCGTCTCTACCCAGAATACGCCCAGAAGTTCATCTCAGAGATCCAGCACGACCTCACCTACAACCTGAGGGAGGGCCACGGCGCCGACGTGAGTAACACAGAGAAAAGGACTCATCTAAGAGTTCATAATAATAATAATAATAATAATAATAATAATAATATATGGGATTTTGATAGTGCTTTTCCTAATGCTCAAAGACGCTTAAAGAGTTGGGATTGGATTGTTTGGATGAGACTTTTGCAAACTGGCCCTTAAAGGTGGGGTAGGTAATTTTGGAGAAACCAGCTCGAGTGCGCTAGATTTTGAAAATACACAGCCGGAAAAAATCTGCCACTTCCTCACAGAGCCCCTCCTCCAACACACACGAACGCGCACATGACCAATGAGGGCACGAGATAAGTTTGTGCCCAGATGGAAGGCTGACAGGCAGGTAGGCCATCCAGTTATTTTAGCCGGGCCGGCTCAGATGATTGGTCGTGCTTTTTTACAGTACTACAGCTTCCACAGATGACATTTTTTATGGATTTTTTTGTCAAAGCACTTCAGATATTCATTGCTATCGGGATGTTAAGAGCATTCCATGGAATATAACAACAAGTGTATCTCGAGCCGGTTTCTCAAACTTACCTACCCCACCTTTAAAGGGGACCTATTATGTAAAATGCACTTTTTGATGTCTTCTCTACATAAACATGTGTCCCCGGTGTGTCGGGGAACTCACAAAGTGTCAGAAAACAAAACCCTCTCTCTTTTCCTCCGTACCCAAATCTCTAAAAACGGGGCTACAACGGAGCTGATCCAGATTTGCTGCCGATATGACGTAATATCTGAAATGTGGACCCACGGCCCTACCAGAAACGTTGCTATCAGAAACAATGCCCGACTGTTTTTGGACGTAATATGGTCTGTGTTTACATTAGCATCGCTAACACTCAGAGCTAACCTGTACTGGAGAGAGTATGCACTTCTGAAATAGAGGGGGATGAGGCTAGAATGGGTGATCTGTCATAGACGTGTTTTTTATATATCTGAGACCTATAATATATGCCTAAAAATAGTATAATAGGAGACCTTTAAGAAAACAATAAAGTGTTGTTCATTTCAATAATCAACGTAGACTGCCCCCGTGTGGCAGTGGCTATAGATAATGGGGGGGGGGGGGTTGGATTTTTTCAAACGGTGTCTCTTAAAGTGGGAATCAGAAGGAAAAGGCAACTTTTTTTAGGGAATACTTTTAATTCTACAAACCGTTTACATTCTACAAATCATTTCAACCCTTTTTTATCCAACACTGAGGATTGGGAAACGAATAAGAGCATTTTGTATGACTTTGTCTAAAACCTAGCGTAGTTTGGAGAGGTATTTAGAGGATGAAGTGGCTGAAGGAGGGGACATGATTGGTTCAAATGTTAAAGGGTCAATGGAAAGTCTGTAGAGTCGACTGTACACAACTACATAACACTTGTTGTGCAAAAGACTAAAAAGGCTTTGTGATATAACAATAATAAGTTATATGTTGATATTTTATCATCATTATGTTTTTGTTGAATGAGGACCTTGCACAAAAATACACAAATAATTTATGGCAGATTACGCATTTAGGGTAATTTCCAATTTTGGCAAATGCACACCCTTAAAACACGACTCAGTCTCTCTCACAACAAACGTTTCTTATAAAAACAGGTAAGAGGACATATGTCGTAATAATATCAACAACACGAAATAAAAAGGATTTTGAGAAATCATTCATATTTATTTATTCCACCGTTACTTTCACTCAACAATGCATAGGTACAGTATAGTGAGATATAGAGACCTCCTTTACAATAGAGCCCTAATCGAATATAGATTGGAGGTGAAATAGGGTTCAATAATACATGTTCATGTCCCTTAGGAAACTTTATCCTGTTGTGAATGTTACTCCGTGAGGCAGGAGCTTTTATTCAAAGCACGTGCAACATGATCCAACATGTTATAAAGAAGACCCACATTCAAATATGACATGTCAGGCGGTAAATAAAAGCAGTAAGGTCCTTTATAAATAACAATAAGAAAAACGAAATAAAGATTTGTACTCCTGGATGCATCAATACCTCTCTGAATACAGCCCAGCAGATCACGCACAGCTCTCCAACAATACATGTGATCCTGTGCTGATGGGGAGCCTGAGAGACACCTTAAGATGACCTCTCAGACACTACTGTAAACCACACACACACACACACACACACACACACACACACACACACACACACACACACACACACACACACACACACACACACACACACACACACAGAGATCAGTGCAGCTTCAAAGGGCTTCTTCTATCCACCCACACACACACACACACACGCACGCACGCACGCACGCACGCACGCACGCACGCACGCACGCACGCACGCACGCACGCACGCACGCACGCACACACACACACACACACACACACACACACAAACACACACACACACACACACACTCTGCGCCTGTGGCTGGTGCAGCACAGAGGGAGGAAAACACGAGGACCAGAATAGCTCCGTGCTGCTGTTTGAAGCTGTCCTGTAGCTATAAATACAGAGCGGGGGGGAAAGCACTGGCTGACCCCGCCTGACTGTTGCTAAGATTGGATCCTGCGCGATATAAATAGCCCAGCCAGCCGAGGAAGAGGAGGAGGAGGAAGAGGAGGGGAGGGCGAACTTTGGCTCACTTTCTCTTCTTCACATGCGTCTTCCCCACTGCAGTGCCATGTGTTTCTCCTGTGCACGCCTCCTGCAGCATGTGAGCCTGATGCTGGTGTGTGTGTGTGTGTGTGTGTGTGTGTGTGTGTGTGTGTGTGTGTGTGTGTGTGTGTGTGTGGGTTGTGGGTGTGGTGTGTGGTTGTGTGCTGTGTGTGTGTGTGTGTGTGTGTGTGTGTGTGATTGTATATGAATGAATGCAAGAGAAGTGTGAATAAGCCTGCAGATAGAAAGCATCTCCTCTCGGTTGAAAGGAGGCCATCTCAAAAGGTGAATGAATGTTTAGAGCACCATAAAGAGATGTGTTAGACTTGATAAAAGATGTTAACGTGAAAGGGGAAAGCAGGGATTGAAAGGGAGTGGAAAGGGTTTAGTAAGCGTCCTCTGACAGTGGCACTTCTGCAGATGGACTGTTATATACGATACGATACCATATACTTTATTTTCCCCGTAAGGAAATTTGTTCTGGAGTCCGTCCTGCAGTTCCACATACATGCACATATACACACATAGTAAACATTAAAATACATACACATATCATCACTCATACAGCGTTTGAACAAACACAATACACAGACGCACATACTGACAATGGGAACCCTCATGGCCAACATTTAAAAAGTGCATTTCATTACATGTGAATGTTAAGAAGCTTAATGGTCATAGGTAGGAATGAGTGCTTATATGATCAAACAATGAGATGCTCAGGAACAACCAGGGTCCCCTGAGCTGTCCTTAGGATCAGGGGAACTATGCTGCATGCTTCAGTAGATCCTGTGCTGTTCAATCTGCAGCAGAGCAACACAGAGCACCTGAACGCACCGTGCAAACACGCTGCACCTGAACGCACCGTGCAAACACGCTGCACCTGAACGCACCGTGCAAACACGCTGCACCTACAAGAAGAACACCTTGTTCCTACAAACAGAGGTTACACAAAGTGCTTCACAAGCCAAGAGAAATGAAACCCTGAGGTAATAATTAGAGTAACAACAATTTTGTGGTTGAAAGAAACACTTAAATACAACAAAAGTCAATATATACAGGAGTAACTCAAACAAGAACAAGTACAAAAATAAACAAGAACTAAATAACGTAATATAATACCAAAAAAATGAATTATAAAATATGAAAAAATTGAATAAAATAAGAAAACGATACATGTTATTATAAAATAAGAGAAAAAACAAGAATAACATGAAAATAAAATAAGAATAAATTCCACTTCAATTAAAAGCCAAAATATAAAAGGAGGGTCTTCTTAAAGTACGGACATTGTCTAATGTACTTTTTTACTTACCATCTCGGCCCTTACTATACACACACACACACGCACGCACGCACGCATGCACGCACACACGCACACACCCACGCACGCACGCACACACGCACACACCCACGCACGCACGCACGCACGCACGCACGCACACACACGCACGCATGCACGCACGCACGCACGCACACACACACACACACACACACGCACACACACACACAGTAGTCTGCAGTCTGACTTCTGCTTGACTTGATCAGACAAACTTTATAACTCCCACGCACTCAGACACACACACACACACACACACACACACACACACACACACACACACACACACACACACTCCGACACGAGGCTGCTGCACACTTGTTATCACGCCCCCACATCACACAGCTCCCCTCCGTTTGGTTTCTTTCTCTGGAGGCTGAGAGCTAAGATTAGAACAAGAGAGCTAAAAATACACAGCGGTGGCAAAGGAGGGCAGTGGGGGAGTATGGGGGGGGGGTGTGTGTGTGTGTGTGTGTGTGTGTGTGTTTGCTGAGTCTTGATTAAAGGCACTAAGTGCACAGGGGGAATGTGGAGGAGTGTCGGCTTGAATGCATGATGGGAAATGAAATACATTCATTACTCTCTGCAGCGTTATTTTAAAGCCGCTGCAGGAGAAAGGCAATTCATATGATCCTGTAATCCCCAAAGCTGTTGTTCTCTACAGAAGAGGGAATGTATTTGGAGTGAAAGTCAAAGCTAATATCGTTGTTTTTAGACGGATACAGAAAGACTCTCTTATTGTTTTTGTGATTTATAAGCATTGAGGATCCCAGGAGAACTATGGGAACAGCCGGGGCTTTAACACGTGAAATACACATTCTGATGTTCCTTAAATAACTCATATGAATCCTGGTCGTGTGAGAGAGCGTCTTCCAGCGACATGTGTTAGAATTGTATAACGAAATGAAAGAAAAGACACCTGAGCAGTTGTTTGTACTCAACTTATTTTATTATTTATTAATATATACAGAGAAGCAAGAAGAAAATAAAGTTCATTGATGCAGGAGGGCAGAGAGCTTATACAACAAATAGCGCTATAAGACCTCAAATCTTATGGTGAAATAACTACAAACTTCACGATAAATGAAGTTCCAACACTCTTAAAAATACATCATTTTAAGTGTCATGGTAAGAATTTGATATTTGATCACGGACAGGGGCTGGGATAATACTGTGTGTGTGTGTGTGTGTGTGTGTGTGTGTGTGTGTGTGTGTGTGTGTGTGTGTGTGTGTGTGTGTGTGTGTCAGGTGCAGCACACTGTATTAAATGTAGCATGACAGGCTTCTTTGGCGAAGGCGGAGGCAAAACTAAATTCACTGCAAAACTAAAAAAGAAATAATTGGAGTTCTACTTTTGTTTCTGATTTCTCGCTGACACATCCCATCCGACACATTCCCTCGAGGGTGATGGGGAAAGTTTGGACACAGATTTATGAAAAATTCGTAATGTCAGCACAGTGTTTTCTGCAGACCTTTGCTGACCCTTTTCTGGAGCATTTTGTCGACTCAGCCCCACCTCCAGCCTCTGAAACCTCTCCAAACTGCAGCAGGGTTTCAGAAAGTGACAACACAACTTATTTTCCCTTCTTAGTCCTCAGTATAAAGTCAGGTGGACATTTTACATAACCTTATACTTTGTAAAGTCAGCAGAAATGCCACATTTTCTCTAATTTATTTATTATTATTTAAAGTGGACCTACAGTATCATGCTATATTTGAATAATATAGTGTAGGACCATACCTATATAAGGCATATTTATACTTTTTTTTTTTCAAAATACCAAACAGATCATGCATTTTAGCCATGCCTCATTTCGCTCAATTTGACAATTTCTAGCTCTGTTTTAGCAAGGGCTGATTCTGTGAGAACAGCACCACCTACAGGCCTGGCATATGTACTACAGCGTCTCCAGCGCTTTCGAACGGCAATGGCCGTGGCTGTCTCCTCCTGATTGGTGGAGTTGGCCCAATAGCCGTAGCGCCACCGTCCTGACGTCAGGACAGTGTTCAAATCTGGATCAGTTTTTATCAGATCCGTTGCAGCCCCTTTTTTAGAGATTTGGGTATGGAGGAAAATAGAGAGGGTTGTGTTTTCTGACACTTGGTGAGTTCCCTGGAACACCGGGGACACATATTCATGTAGAAAAGACGTACAAAAGTGCATTTAGCATGATAGGTCCCCTTTAATTTTATTCTCCAACTGCAGTACCTGAAAACACATCATTAAATAATAATGATAATATTAATAATATAAGTTAAACAAGTACCCGATGTACAGTAAGGTGAAATAAACACAATGCACCTTGAAAAATAAATAACGCCTTCTAGCCAGTATTACATTTTTTACCAGGGTCTTGAGAGAACACTATAGCACTGTCTTAAAACAAATTCTAAAAACTTCAAGTAAAAACAATGACATGAAGGAAAAATTGATATTTTATTGTCTATTTTGGCTTTGAAACCAGTAAAGAAAATATGCTCAATATCCAGGAAAACCATCTAGCTGACGTCACCTCTATGCTAGAATAGACCCATCAAATCCTGACAGGAACTTTGTGGAACTTTGAGAGAATAAATACCAAATGTTTGTGTGGAGACAAAGTGCTTTGTGTCTCTCTCTGTTGAAGGTGTGTGTGTGTGTGTGTGTGTGTGTGTGTGTGTGTGTGTGTGTGTGTGTGTGTGTGTGTGTGTGTGTGTGTGTGTGTGTGTGTGTGTGTGTGTGTGTGTGTGTGTGTGTGTGTGTGTGTGTGTGTGTGTATGTGTGTGTGTGGATAGAATTGGGGGATGAAACCCTCTTTATTGGTCACACATGTTCATGCACACATCACACACACATTGAAATTTGTTGTGAAATGTGTTCCCTGCCTTTTGCCCATCCTAGTGTGTGTGTGTGTGTGTGTGTGTGTGTGTGTGTGTGTGTGTGTGTGTGTGTGTGTGTGTGTGTGTGTGTGTGTGTGTGTGTGTGTGTGTGTGTGTGTGTGTGTGTGTGTGTGTGTGTGTGTGTTTACCAACACTGTGATGCAGCTGTGCTCAAAACCAACAGAAATAGTCTCTCTGCTGTTCTCCATAACTGCAGGTGTGAAGACTCTTTTATTATCTCACATTTGAATATCATATTTTATCTAATGATCTAAGTCAAAGTGGATTTGTGGGTTCAGTTCTGAGCCTGAATGAAGCTGGTCTGTAAAATGATGGCATGAAAGCAAAGTGTGTCCAAAATTATAAAGTTCTTATATTTGACATATATTGAGTACAAGAATGTAAATGTGCACTCGAAGACGGACAAATTATACAAAAGGTACATAAAACAATTCTCAGTGACTTCAAGAATAACAAGTAAACGTTTTGTCTGTTTTCGTAAATATAATTGCTTGGTTTTTTATTTCCCAAAAACCTGCCAATTTAAAGAAAAATAGAAATAATATATCTGTCACTCTGCAATGTTTCCACAACTACAAATTCAATAAAGAAGAGACAAAAAAAGTACTTTACAAAACTACAGTTATTTATGAATAAAAAATACATGACGGGAATTATTATTTATTGTGTACTGTCTTTCTTGAACCCCCCCCCCCTCCCCCTCCCTCCTCTCAGGTGGACTGGGAGAGTAATGGCGGTCTGGTGAAGAAGCTGCCGTCGATCCGTGAGGATGAGGAGGGTGGTGAAGATCAGAGCTCGGTGTCCCGCCCCGCCCGCTCCCCCCTGAGGCTCAGCAGGGGGCTGAACTCCCCCCTGCGCTCCCCCCTCCTCCCCCCCAGGCCCTTCAGAGCCCCCTCAGATCTCAACAGACCCGCAACTCTGCAGATCCCCGTGGTCAGTTTCTGCAGCGCAGCTCCTCCAGAACTCAGCCCCAGGTAACACACACACACACACACACACACACACACACACACACACACACACACACACACACACACACACACACACACACACACACACACACACACACACACACACACACACACACACACACACACACACACACACACACCAAGATACATGGACATACACACTCACACTCACACACACACACACACACACACACACACACAGACATATAGACAGACAGACAGACAGACACACACACACACACACACACACACACACATATATACACACACACACACACACACACTCACAGATACATGGACACACACACACACACACACAAACATATAGATCGGTATTGAAGAGGTAGAAGCAGATAAGGCTGTCGCATGTGTATGGTTGCCATGGTAACCTCCGGTAGCACACAGTGTGTGTGTGTGTGTGTGTGTGTGTGTGTGTGTGTGTGTGTGTGTGTGTGTGGAAAGTAAGAGTGTCAGTGTGTGTGCTCAGATTAATGACTGCAGTGGTGTGTGAACAGACCTGCTGATGGAGGGGCTTTCTGATCTGTGTGAATAGATATCACACAAACACACACACACTCACACACACTCACACACACACACACACACACACACACACTCACACACACACACTCACACACACACACTCACACACGCTGTAAATTATGATTGCTGTGTAATCTCTCTTTTCTTCATAGATTTGTGGACGGCATTGAAACGGACACCAACTCTCTGTGCTCTCAGAAGTTTGAGTTCAGTCCCAGCATGTCGCCTGCAGCATCGCCCTCCCCTTACACAGGTAACACACACACACACACACACACACACACACACACACTTCAGAGCAGGAATACCCTACCGTACCTGTACACAATCTTCTACACTTTCCCCCTCCGCCTTTTTCAGGGAAACATATATGTGTAATTGTTTTGTGATAACTGCATTTGTTACAGCTGTTAAAGATGGAGTTTTTTCAATACACGTTTCTACTATACTGCTGTGTAGCTTCCTACCAAGGTGTCAATACAGTTTGATCTTGACATAAATAAAAAATGATCATTTTGTTATCATTAATTTGAATCTAAATATTTAAAGTTATTCAAGTAAAAAACTAAACCCACACAGAGAGAGTAGTATGTAGCTTCTCTGTCAGAAGAGTAGTTTTATTCAGAAGATGTTGGAACAATACGTTTCCTCGCTGTATATAGCACCACCATGTGGCCACCTTTGATATTTTAAGCCTTTTTGTGATTACAAATGTGTGATTTTATTCTGTTGTGTGCGTGCAGGGAATCGGGAGCCCTCTGAGATCAAGCAGAGTGTTTCTAAACTGGCTGAGGAGGTGAGTGATGAAGATGAGGATGATGATGAAGTCTGTTAACACATCCACCTGAAGGCTCTAGTTACAATCCTTATTCAGCCTAACAGATGTCATTGCTGTAGCCCTTTTAGTATAGAATACCCCAAATTCACTGTCAATAAAAATGTCAATTCTGTATATAGTATGTAAGAAAAAGTTCCTACAAATAATTCATAGCATTTCATAGATAGTGTCCAGTTCCAGATGCATGGCTAATTCAATTATATTATTAAAATAACACATTAGAGGGATTAAGCTCTTTGAGGATTTCTTTAATATTCTGTGTGAAAAGTCAGCGTTCACTCACTCTGTGAACTAAAGGTATGCAGATTATGTTTCAATATAAATAAGGGTTAACTTTGTCAGAGAGTTTTGCAAACACAACAGTTTCCTCCTGAGCAACAAGAAACTTCATATTGCATTTGCATGAATTAACCTTCACTTGATTTGTGTGTGTGTGTGTGTGTGTGTGTGTGTGTGTGTGTGTGTGTGTGTGTGTGTGTGTGTGTGTGTGTGTGTGTGTGTGTGTGTGTGTGTGTGTGTGTGTGTGTGTGTGTGTGTGTGTGTGTGTGTCTCCTCTCAGATGAACAGCCTCACGAAGCAGGTGTCACTTCTCAGTCAGGAGCTGCAGGAGATGACCCGCCTCCTGAAGCCCCTCCTCCAACAATCCCCTCCTCCAATCCTGATGACCATAATGCCAAATCTAACCCCGCCTCCCAGCAGCAGCGCCAGCCAATTATCAACGAGCACCTGCTTGGTCCCGCCTCCCCTATCTTCTTCTTCCTCACCGAGACAAGACTCTCACTCCCTGTTGGACGGGGGAGACATCGAGGGTGTGGATTTGCCAGGATGCCTCTTACCGACTCCCCCTTCACCAAAAAGGGTTAATTTGTCTCCCAAACTTAAAAGCGCCAACCCCAACCCTCCCTCCCTTGAGGAAGGACTCCCTGAGGGTCCTTTAGTCCTCTCTGAGGGTCCTCTCCCCCTCCCTCCCTCCCCTGCTAACGGGATCTATCTCCCCTTTCTGCAGGACCAGCCTCCTTCCCCTTCACTTTCCCTCTCCTTCTCCATGTCTCTTTGCTCCTCACCCTCTTTCTCCCCATGCCTCCTACCTCCTCCTCCCTCCCAGGACACCCCCCCTCCTCGCCCAGCATACTCCCACTGTTCTGCACCCCCCTCCCTCACATCCTCTCCAGGCGACCACTCCACGGTCTCCGCCTCTCGGCCCATGTCTCTGGACTTTGTTAGGAGAAAGCAGGGAGACATCATCCCCCCTTGGTGCAACTCACAGCTGACCAAACCCCCCCCCACAGGAGCTGGAGATGCAGGAGATGTGGGGGAGACAGGTGGGGGAGGAGGGGAGGAACTCCACAGAGCACATCAGCTTCATCGATGAAGCGGAGCCGGCATTATTAACCGTTAAAACTGACTGAAAAGGAAACAAAGTAGCAGAAATTAGATCAGGGAAAGTGACTGAAATCACACACAGGAAGTGATTTTTCAGACAGGAAATGCTTACAGGACACACAGGAAGTGATGAAATAGTTACAGGACACACAGGAAGTGATGACATACTTACAGTACACACAGGAAGTGATGAAATACTTACAGTACACACAGGAAGTGATGGAATGCTTACAGGACACACCGGAAGTGATTTGTCAGACAGGAAATGCTTACAGGACACACAGGAAATAGAAACACCTGCAAGGCGGAGACATAAAGCCTGCAGCTGTCAGCCAATCAGTGTGAAGGACTTTTTTTTTTCCTACACTGATCACAGAACAGCACAAAATGTCTTATAGTATCAACACTTCAGTAGCATTAGCATTAGCAACTGTCCCACATACACAAATTGACCAAAAGTCATGTTTTAAAGTCAAATTTAGCTGATTATATAATTTCACTTCTTAAAACCCAGGGACTACAAACACATATCTCAGTGGGAAACATGTCAGATAATCACCACACTGGGACTGGGAATGTAAACTCACCTTTCAGAGCCAGTTTGCTTCATTAATTCGTTTATTTTTTGCATTTCAAATTAGAAATCTGCCTCTAGGATGGTGGAGGAACTCACTCAGCTTCAAATCCAACTATCTTGTCAGTCACACACATCGTTCATTCTCCAAAAAACATCCACATTTTGCCTGTAAAAGAAGTTTAAAGTGCACATTCGAGTGAAACGCCGGAGCATTAGTGCTTCTTTTTGAGACCTGAAGCGTGCTGGGTGTGCCAAAGACAAATTATGGACAGAAATATCATAAGCAGCCCCCATATATAACTGTTTCCCACCTCCTTTACTGTTTACAAGCAGCCTCTCAGATTGTACAGCAGACTCACATCACTCCTGAGCTTTAGCCATCCAGCCATTCGTGCCTTCTCTGCATTAAAGTTCCCTAAAGTCCTTTTCCTGGTTAGCATTCGGATCAAAATTAACACGGAAAGCCATCTACAGAGAACACTTTACCTACCTACCTAACGCACCTTTACCTAAAATGTAATTTATTTATTTATTCAGGCTGTGAATTTATTTATTTTTATTGATGACGAGGAAATATTATAATATTTCTAGGAGAGAAAGGTCTACCTTCCCGATTGTTATGTAGCACACACACACACACACACACACACACACACGCCCAGTAAGACACACACACACGCCCAGTAAGAGACACACACACACACACACACACACACACACACACACACACACACACACAGGCCCAGTAAGAGACACACACACATGCCCAGTAAGAGACACACACACACGCCCAGTAAGACACACACACACACACGCCCAGTAAGAGACACACACACACGCCCAGTAAGACACACACACGCCCAGTAAGAGACACACACATGCCCAGTAACACACACACACACACACACACACACACACACACACACACACACACACACACACACACACACACACACACACACACACACACACACACACACACACACACACACACACACACAGTAAGAGACACACACACACACACCCAGTAAGAGTCACACACACGCCCAGTAAGACACACACACACCACCATTTTTCATAAACCCTCAGAACTACAATACCCAGGATGCATCACTATAGGGGTTTGTTTATTTGCTTTGAGCACCATACGGTTACTTGTAGTATAGACAGTCATATTTCTGGTTTCAATTTTCTGTAACAGGAGCAAAGGACCTGGATTCTTGAAACTGAAACACAAAGCAGGACTCTGGGTTTTTTGGTGGTGGGGTTTTGGGGTCTTTGGGTACACAAAGGGGGTTTTAAAGTGCATGTCCCAGCTTTTTTTTGCATGAGGAATGTGCCTGCTTTTGAGCTGTGAGGGGCGGAGGAGTGAGGGCTGATGGGAGCTGACGGATGGATGCCCGCCCTGTTGGAGGCTGTTGGCTTTCAGATGTTTGAATAATTAAAGACTGCTGTTACATACACACTTTGCCAGGATTACATACTGTTCAAATAAAGAAGTGTTGTTTTGTAAGACGTCTGGTTTTTGTGCTGCTCTCAGAGGAAACATTATCCTCGGTTTGTGCCTCATCGAAGTCACAGAGGTGAGACGCCTTTCTCTGAAAAATAAATACCAAAAGGTCCGTTAACAACTTTTAATGCTGCTCTGGAGATATCTTCCAAATACATGTCATGGCGTGAACGTTTTATTGATTTGCTGCAGGCTCAGCATTTGGCCATGTGACTTATTGGTACCACTTTACAATAAGACTACCCTTATAAAGGATTCATAAAGGGTTATGAATTAGGTTGTAAACACTTTATGAATCATTAAGAACCATTTATAAACCAGTTCTAAAGTAGTTTGCATACATCAACACAGGCTCACTATTTGGCAAGATGACTAAGCCTTATATTGGCTACTTAGCGATAATCAACTGAGTGAACAACAGATACCAAGGATGCTGGCTGATGAAGACGAAGTAAGCTAGGTAGCAAATATAAGACTGAGCAGTACAGATAAATGTGGGCTCACTATTTGGCAAGCAACCGGTCACAGTCGCCCTGTTTATCACGTCTTATAAAAGCTTATTAAGGATTTATAAAGTGTTCACAACCTAATTAATAAATGAATTACAAACTATTCGTAAACCCTTGATAAGGGTAGTCTTATTGTAAAGTGGTACCGACTTATTTGTATTTTATTTGTATTGGACATTTGACTTATTCTACGACTTATATGCTTAAATAAATATCTGCATTTAGTTTTTTATTGCCCTTTCTTTACGTACTATCTTTTGGATTATCCTTGATTTTATTTCATTGACTCTACTCCCCGATGCATGCACTTGCACTGTCTCAAGATGACAGAGAAACCTCGACCTAAAACCAAACTAAAAAATATAGTAAAACAACTGTGTTTTCTTTCCTGGAGAGAAACTCCCACTGGAGGGATTTTCAGCCTTTGCAGACCATTTACATGCACTAAAACCTATATAAAAAAAAAACTAAAAAGCGTACTGGGGCCTCTTTAAAAAAAGCCTCTGGGTTAATATGTTGCCGAGAAACTTGTATTAACCTCTGTGACTTCCTCACAGTGGAAATAAATGAGGCACAGAGTACTGTATATGTATGCTTTAGACCAGGGGTCGGCAACCTTTTTGATATGAAGAGCCGTTAAGTGCTGCGGGGAAGCAGTGTGTGGACCCGTCAGCGCCACTCACATGATGCCGAATTTAACAAACTAATTTAAATAATTGGTTTAAACGGCATAATAAGGACGATCGTACGTTCTGTGATTCTCCAGAACACACATGGCCAGTACGCACCTGTGTAGCATATTATTACGTTCAGGATACGAAAATACAATTTTAATATTTTGCACACTTATTCCACGTATTCCACTGGTTACATTGGCACGCGGCTCCGTAACCAGTGGGGTTGCCGACCCCTGCTTTAGACTGAGGTTTAAGCCAAGTACTACACACACACTTCAAATGTAAACACACACACACAGCATTTTAGACATTTAGAAATAAGACACAACACAAGAGGAGATCCTTCTTCAAGTCTGCATATATTTTCAATGGTAACATTCATTCTATCAGAGTTTCAGTAAGGATTGAAATGTCAGGGAACAACAGTCTAGAAAGATCCTGATGGGAGAGGAAAGTATATAATGAGGGGGAGAAATTAAGCACTTGATTCTGCTGCTGTGGACGTGCCGGTCTCAAATACTTCTTTACATCCACTCTGTCCTCGCTTCTCCAAAACACTTCAGAGGAGAGAGAGAGAGAAATCCCTTTTGACAAACACACACACAGAGAAGAGGGGCTGACATTGTTAAACAGAGCAGTGAGGACACATGAACCCTCTTATCTCTGCTGTGTGAACTCATGCCTGTTAGTTAGTAACCGGGCAGGTCAGAGTGAGCTCTCTGGATCTACATTTCCCATTGGGACTATAAGGATATTGGACAGAAGTGACGGGCGACAGTGCACGCAGAACCACAACGGTGAGAAAATCAAAAACTGAAATTCAAAAGGAGAATCACATTTCCTTTCCTTATTTACCTCAAAGAAAATCCACGTTCAAAGTCATTTCCATAATCAGACTGCAGCGGATTCACTGCCAGGGTTCAGAGAGCATGAATGAAAACAAAACAGGGGAAAATACAAATCCAAAAATATATATTTATGTTTATATTTATATATATTTATATATTTACGAGGTATGTATCCACAAAAAAATGAAAAAAACACCCAAAATTCCAAAATAGGCAAGTCTGTATTTTTCCAAATGTGTCCTTGCTTGCGGCGCCTGAAGGAAACATTATTATTAATAGTAATATTAATTAAAAAGGAAATAAAACCGGGAAGCTTTGCTGTCCGACAGCCGTGCTCAAAAACCTCGTAGTCCATTTCTCTCCATCGTAAGGAGTCCAAAAGGCTGTCGCACGCCAACCAAAACTCACAAAGTCCCAAAAGGAAAAATATCACTTCATTGTTGAAAGAAAACAAACAAGCAAACCCCTCCTAACCGTTAATCTCCCAACAACCACAGAGTCTCCGAGGTGAGGTCTGGAGTGAGGTGGTGGTGGTGTGGGTGGAGGGGAGAGAGGGAGGGGGGGGGGGGGAGGCCAGCCACAGGTCCACAAAAGGTGTCTTTGTGCAAAAAAAAAAACTGGTTTCCTCCCGACGATTGTTAGTGAGGCTGGCATTGGAGGATCTCTGCCCCCTGTGGTCACGCAAGGTACTGCTGCATCGCCGTCTTCGCCCTGAGAGAGAGGGACACAATCAGACCAGTTATTAAAAAGCAGAGGGGGGGAAGTAGTGGAATACTTAGTTACTGTACTTAAAAGGTAGGGTAGGTAAGAATGGAGAAACCAGCTCGAGTGCGCAAGAATTTGAATTTCAAAATCTGCCCCTTCCTTCAGACTTCCTTCTCTCAGAGCTGAATAGGACTACAGAAGTTGTGGAGGACGTTGTAAGTCATTACACCGAACACTCCTCTAAGTTTGTTTGCCATGTTCTGCTTGAGAGCAAGTACCTGCCTCCTGCAAACTGTTCAAACAAACGCTTCAACTTGTTCAATTTAGAATCTGTATGTTTGAATATGGATCTTAAGTTGGCGTGATGTTGAAGTCGTGCTGCTGTACTCGCCTGTAGTTCCTTTATAGCATAACGTTAGCATTTTGCTTCTGGCCATTAGATTTATGATTCGAACATTTAAAAAGTAGGGTAGACATGTGGAGATTATCCGGCTGAACAAAACGTGCATTTATCAAACAGGTTCGTTTTCCACAGACCTTATTTCGAGCTATTTTCCAAATCCCTATGGAGAAATCCCATTGCTCTTTTGTCGAGGGAACCCATGCGCAGCTTACTTCAGGGTAAATAAGGTAATACGCTGACTAAAAAGTATTTCCATACATACTGTACAACCCCATTTTGTAAAAAGACAAACTATGGCTTTGATAACCGTCTTGATTTTGCTCTCCTGGCCCACCTGTCACAGAGGTTGGGGTCCGAGGCCTGGGTGAGTTTGTGCAGAATGTCAACAAAGCCCATCTCTCTCAGTTTATCCTGACGCTCCTGAGAACCTGAAACACATAAAAGACACATAACAAACATTCAATTAAAAGCATAAATGGCTTTGTTAATTATTTAAGCATTCATTGCAGTATAGTCTAAATGTTCTTGTTCATAAAGTCACACTGTCCCGAAATTGACACCAGATGGACACACGAATATGGAATTGTGAATTTCGCGCGAAGATGGCCCCGAACCACACGAAGGCAACATTTACATTACATTTAAGACATACAACTGCAACGAAAGTAACAAAAACAATTATGTTAACGTACTATGATACTGTACTGATATTTTCAGACTTTGTTCTTTACTTTCTCCGTCTCTATATGTAGAATATATTACGTTTTCTCCATCATGTTGTTTCCATAGCAACAACACCTTCCTGTCAAAAGTTAACCTAAATTACATTTAAGACATACAACTGCAACGAAAGTAACAAAAACAATTATGTTAACGTACTATTTTCAGATTTTGTTCTTTACTTTCTCCGTCTTTATATGTAGAAGATATTACGTTTTCTCCATCATGTTGTTTCCATAGCAACAACAACAACTTCCTGTCAACACGATTTGACAAGATGGATGAGAGTAACACCTACATAACGGCCTCTCCCACTTTTGGGGGGAAACAACGCTGTCATTTGAATGGCGGTCGATACAAATTCTGAAGTTTTTGCCAATCCGATCAGAAATGTAAGAAATGGATTTGTGGAGAGCCCGATTACAATTACATGAAATCATTTTAAATCGACGATCGGGCTCGATATATGGTTAAATTAAAATCTGTAGGCGAGGCTGTAATTTTCGCCAGCTGTTACTCTCATGAGCGAGGCAGAAAATAATAGTGTTATCATGCCAACAAGCTGCTGTGTCGTTTATTGCACCTCAAACATTAAAACAAATCCAGAGTTCAGTGTTTCTGAACTTCCTCTAAGAAGAAAGGACAGTAACAGAAGAGCTCTGTGGCTTCAGGCTCGATCAGGCGTTGGTTTCTCCCAAAAGTGGGCGGGGCCGTAAAGTGACGTAGATGTTACTCTCATCTATGGACATCGATCGCCTACTGCTATATTTAACCATATATCGAGCCCGCTCGTCGATTTCCAATGATGTAATGTAATGGTTTGCCTGTCTGGCCATCGTAATCGGGCTCTTTGAAGATCAGAAAATCCACGGTTTTCTTACATTTCTGATCGGATTGGCAAAAACTTCAGAATTTGTATTGATCGCCATTCAAATGACAGCTTTTGTTTTCCCCCAAAAGTGGGCGGGGCCGTAATTTTCGCCCGGAAGTGACGCATGTGTTACTCTCATCTATGGGCCGATGTTGTTACGATCAGAGCCGAATTTGAACATTTCCTTTATCCATCTGGTGTCAATTTCGGGACAGTGTGACGCGGGCTTTACAGATGTCACTTTTGCTCTAAAAGAAGTTAAAATGTGATAAACGTTAACCTGAGCTGTGCTGACCTTTTGGGGAACAATCGCTGCTGACCACTGCTTGAACTGAAAGATGAAAAACAATTACATGTGTTTCTGATTTTCCAGCAATAACAAATAACAAAAAGGCCTTAAATTGAAACTCTGAAACATGGCGTTCTGCTGCTAGCAACATTAGCATTGTAGCTAAGGTGGCTTAGTACAGCGCCCCCTACAGTCCAGGATGCGTCTCTGCGGTAACAGGGATTCAGATCAACAATTTCAACATATGATAATAATAAATAATACATTACATTTATATAAGCGCTTTTCCTGGTGCTCAAAGCACTTTATAAAGACAGGTACAACTTATAAACCATCATTTAAAAAAATGGTTTAATTTATATTATACTGTTACCAGACAGTGAAATGATCATTTATAAAGTTTAATTGATCAGAAATGCTTTAATTTATGTTATTTAAACAGTTCATCGTTGCACACATTACACATTTTAAATAATATAATAAAAATGTGCAATTAAAACATTATTTGTAATAATAACAAAAACATTGACACATGGACCAGATATGTTTAAATATTCATTCAATAATTGATATAATGAGTTCACATACCAAACTAGTAAACAATTTCATTATAGCATAAATCAGTATTAGTATACATTATAAATAACATTTTTCTTGGTAATAAAATGATTATTATTAACTCTCAATTGACCATTTATTCACAAGGGGTTATTATAAAGTGCCACCATAACTAAACCCATGAGTCCCGATCTTACCGTCCTCCTCGTTCCAGATCAGGTTGGAGATGCAGAAGGTGGCGGCGAGCTGCAGTTTCACATTCGAATGCCCCTGCAGGAACAACAATTACAAGGGAGGAAAAAGCATCAACAAGAAGTCTAATGACTAAAACACACAGAGTTCAGATACAACACCATCTGCTTCCCATTCAGAGAATCAGTATGCATGCTGCAACAACACCAGCATCAGGTCTGATCGTATGAATGAGCTACTGTTGGGGAAATACTGAATGTCCTCTTCCAATATGAGAGTAACATGATAACAAAGGTATCCCAACTGTAGCTGTGAACATGACAGGATGTATGATTACCTAGAAGAGCATCAGGACTGTTTGAGGCATATGATAGCTATGTGATTAACATGATGATTCAGCCTCTATGGAGATAGACATATGACAAGCATGATCATTTCTGACGTGGAGCTAATCTGAAGTAAACATTGAATACTGCTTTATATTCCTCCATCTTGTGACTGTGTAACTCCCTCTCTTGGATATCAGCATGTGAAGGACACTGTTCAGGAACTAGTTGATGCTCTGTATGTGATGACTACTTCCATTCTGGAGAGGATCAGACATACATGGATCCTGAGATTGAAGATCAAGCCGGGGACCAGGGATTATTAACATTTTGAAGTATTCGGAAAAGTCAGAATTTTTAGATTTTGAGAGAAAGTCCGAATTTTGTGATTTTTTTAACGAAACCAACATTTTGAGAAAAAGTCAGAATTTTGTGAAAAAGTCAGAATTTTGTGAAAAAGTCAGAATGTTTTGAAAAAGTCAGAATTTTGTGAAAAAGTCGGAATTTTGTGAAAAAGTCGGAATTTTGTGATTTGCATGAGAGAAAAAAAAAACATTTTGACAAAAATAATTTTGAGATTTTCATGAAAAAAACCAACATTTTGACAAAAAGTCCGAATTTTGAGAAAAAGTCTGAATTTTGACAAAAAGTCCGAATTTTGCTATGTGATTAACATGATGATTCTATGGAGATAGCCATATGACAAGCATGATCATTTCTGACGTGGAGCTAATCTGAAGTAAACATTGAATACTGCTTTCTATTCCTCCATCTTGTGACTGTGTAACTCCCTCTCTTGGATATCAGCATGTGAAGGACACTGTTCAGGAACTAGTTGATGCTCTGTGTGTGATGACTACTTCCATTCTGGAGAGGATCACAGATACATGGATCCTGAGATTGAAGTTCAAGCCGGGGACGAGGGAGATTGTTCTAACAGCTACAGTAGAGTCTATATAAAGTACCATGTAGTATTTGATTTTCTGCAGCATGTCGTCATTGGTCATGAGAATTTCCTTGGCTGTGTTGCCGTCTGCGATGTTGGCGAGGATGCACAGCGTCTGGCAGGAAATAAAAACATCAGTGACCAACATGTATTTTGTTGTGATGCAAAACAAAGACTCCGGGACCAGAGGCCATAAGACTGTTAAACACCTGAACTTTTGAAAGAACATCCATCTGTTTGCAACTTATATATATCAATATTCCAATTACTTGTACAGTATATAGACTATTCTGCACTATTATATTATATTTTATTGTATTTACTTGCACTATTTTATCTGTTGTATTGTGTTGCACTGTTGGAGGAGCCTGTGACCTCCGATTTTCATTGTCATATCTACACTGTAGCTAATGTACACATGACAATAAAAGCCTTGAATCCTTGAAAAACTCTTAATTGCCAACTGATTCTCACTGATGTTCTCCCATTTCTACAACCACCACTGCAGATGAATAAAGACTCATACCTGCAGAATGTTAAAATGTGTCTGCAGTGCAGCTTTTTAATCATACATTCTGAATGAAAAGCATTTGTAAGCATGAAGGGGATGAGGGCTCACCTGCTCTTTGACCTCCACACTGTGCTCCGCCTCCAGGATGAGGGTCACCGCCTGCAGGATCTGCTTACCGTGAGAACTCATGATCTGGTCGATGTGCTGACGAATCAAGAGAGGAAGCAGGAGAGAGTCAGTATGCAGGCATGTAGGTAACATCTCTGAAGGATGTATGCAAACTCAGCACTCGCCACTGGACGATATGAGGAGTTCATGTCATGATTATCCAGGGTAAAATAATTGCCATTCAGGATATTATCCCAGTTAATCATGAATGGACTAAAATGGTCTTAAAACATGCTGGAATAATTTGGTATTACGTTAAAGGGGACCTATCATGCAAAATGCACTTTTTGATGTCTTTTATACATAAATATGTGTCCCCGGTGTGTCGGGGAACTCACGCAGCGTCAGAAAATAAAACCCTCTCTCTTTTCCTCCGTACCCAAATCTCTAAAAAACGGGGCTACAACGGAGCTGATCCAGATTTGCGTCCGATATGACGTAATATCTGAAATGTGGACCCACGGCCCTATCAGAAACGTTGCTATCAGAAACAATGCCCGACTGTTTTGGACGTAATATGGTCGGTGTTTACATTAGCATCGCTAACACTCAGAGCTAACCTGTACTGGAGAGCATGTGTGTGAAGAAGCAGGAAATAAAAAGGAACTCACCTTGTGGTATAACCGGCAAGAGAGAAAGCCTTTGAGCTCCATACTGTTTCAGAAATAATCCTTGATAATCCATGATATGGCGTTTCATCACCGCAGCATTTAGTTTAGACAGTAGCTGCCGGGTCCCGCATGAGCTCAGACCCCTACTTTTTTTTTTATCAATTTCTTTTTTTTTTTCAATTCTTTATACCCAAAATCAGCACTTTTGAAACAGGAAGTGAAATAGAGGGATATGAGGCATGGCTAGAATGGGTGATCTGTTTGGTATTTTGAGCAAAACACTTCATAGACATGTTTTTTATATATTTGTATATATCTGAGACCTATGCTATTGCCTACAAATAGCATGATAGGTGACCTTTTAAGATACACATATTTGTACTGCATCAAAGAGAGGACACATCTTTCTTAATCACTTCATAAAACAAAAACAACAACATGTTTGAAAAAGTAAAATGTTTGGTCTCCATGCATAAATAATAGGATACCTCGTACAGTAAAATAAAAAAACAACATTGTGTGGTAGAGAAAAATAGGGAAATGATCATGTGGACGAGTAACGAAGGATTTCGGGGTTTTTAAAGAAGCCCTGGGAGACAAATGTGAACTAAAACATTCTTATGTCATTTTGACATCTGATCTAAAAAGGTGTCTTGTAGGACGTTCAGCCTTGTGTAGCTAGAATTAGTATAACATCAACAAACATTTTCACATGTTTTATGTATGATTTGTTTTTTTTACAAGTCGTTAACACAGGAGAGAAAGACCTAAGAAAATGGATCAGCAGAATTAAAATGTCTCACTTTTGTCTTAGGGCTTCCTGTAACCCAAGAGCAAAACGCTTCTCAAATAGACTTTATCATATCAAAATCAAAGTAGTATCTCACCATGTTTGAACACACCAACACAATATTGCCAGAGAGCAATTACTAGTAAGATGTTCCTGTTATTTCCCCCAGAAATTGTCTGTAAATTTACTGTAAATAAGTAAGGCTGATATTCCATCACTAATGCATTGTACTAATAAGTCTCTGATCGTGCGTGTGTGCATGTGTCTTACTGGGCGTGTGTGTGTCTCTTATTGGGCGTGTGTGTGTGTGTGTATGTGTATGTGTATGTGTATGTGTATGTGTATATGTGTATGTGTATGTGTGTGTGTGTGTGTCTCTTACTGGGCGTGTGTGTCTCTTACTGGGCGTGTGTGTGTGTGTATGTGTGTGTGTGTATGTGTGTGTGTGTGTATGTGTGTGTATGTGTGTGTGTGTGTATGTGTGTGTGTGTGTGTGTGTGTGTGTATGTGTGTGTGTGTGTATGTGTGTGTGTGTGTGTGTGTGTGTCTCTTACTGGGCGTGTTGACAGCAGGTTCCTCAGCAGCCCGAGGGTCTTCATCAGCACGTTGCTGTCGGGGTCCGATAGCAGCCGGAACAACTGTTCTGTTCCCAAACACCGGACGATCTCCACCTTCACCTTCTGATCCGCCTGGAAGGCCATGTTCTACACACACACACACACACACACACACACACACACACACACAAATAAACAAACAAACCGAGTTCAGTACTAAAGAAATCTGGCAGTATGAGCCACTGTGTGAACATGTAAGATGGATCTGCTTTAACTGTACGGTGTCTTTGGGTGTCATGAAAGGCGCCCAAAATATGCATTATTATTATTATAATTAGTATATTTTAACTCAATACAATCTTGCATATAAAATCTGGAGTGGGGGATTTGTGTCTCCCCCTCTGGCTGTGATAGTTTTTACAATTTGAGAGAGACAACAGTGACGGAGTGTAATGAATGCTCCAGATTAAAAACACATGTAGCATTCAGACCACAGCTGCAAACATTTATCATCTAATCAATTACTCAAAAGAAAGACAAATAGCTTTTCAAAAAGCTGTTTTATATGATATTAAAGTAAATATATTTGGGATTTTTGACAAAGCGAGACATATACATACACTATATAACGGAAAAGGTCCATTAGATTTCACCTATTTTTTGAATTTATTTTGTGAACTCTTTTGGCAAAGGCTTCAACGTAAGGTACATTCATTTATATATAAAAGTCCCGCAGCTCAAAACACAACACTGTTGCTCAAGTTTTTTGCAGATGAGAGGAGAGAGAGATTTAATTAACAAAGGACAAGTGGAAAGGAGAAGGGAAGTGAAGAGAATATGAATTGAAAAAAGAGGATGGTTGTAAGAACAAGTGTAAAAAGTGTTAAATCCTTTTCTTACCATTAAAGCCCAGATCCCATTGACCCTCAGAGCAGGACTGTCACTCTGCGTCAGAGTGCAGAGCAACTCAATCACCCCCGACTCCAGGATGGGCTGCATCACAGAAACAAATGACCTTCATATTAAACATCAAATCTTGAATTTTAAAAGGACCAAAAACGGCATCATTTGAGACAGGAATCAAGGTTTCACTATGTCACATTTTCTACAGGTTACAGCGGACCGTAAGAGATACATGCACTCTTTTACTAAGGTTGGAGTCAAATAAAAGTATCAAAATAACTACAGTCAGAGATGGCAAAAGTACACACATCCTTTACTCAAGTAGAAGTACAGATACTCGTGTTTAAAAGTACTCTGGGGAAAGTAGAAGTACTGACTAAACTTCTTTACTCAAGTAAAAGTAAAGAGGGCTTTGAAATGTACTTCAGTAAAAAGTACCCATAACTAGCAGCTGTTTTAAAGAGTACCTGACCTCCCTTTATATTAATAGAACAATAATGTCATTGTTAGCTAATGAATGTTTCCATGCTGAACAACGGCAACATGACAACGTTTTCATTGGTCCCTCTTCTTTAGAGAAGACCAGGAAATGATGGATACACGGATCGTGTTCAAATCAATAGGCACGCAATGACTCTAAATAATAATGATCACGCCACCAAACACACATTCAAACTAAAGGAACCAGCCTGTTTGGAAAATGTAAGAAGTAGAAAGTACAGGTATTTGTGTTCAACATGTAAGAAGTAGAAAGTACAGGTATTTGTGTTCAACATGTAAGAAGTAGAAAGTACAGGTATTTGTGTTCAACATGTAAGAAGTAGAAAGTACAGGTATTTGGGTTCAACATGTAAGAAGTAGAAAGTACAGGTATTTGTGTTCAACATGTAAGAAGTAGAAAGTACAGGTATTTGTGTTCAACATGTAAGAAGTAGAAAGTACAGGTATTTGTGTTCAACATGTAAGAAGTAGAAAGTACAGGTATTTGGGTTCAACATGTAAGAAGTAGAAAGTACAGGTGTTTGTGTTCAAAATGTAAGAAGTAGAAAGTACAGGTATTTGTGTTCAACATGTAAGAAGTAGAAAGTACAGGTATTTGTGTTCAACATGTAAGAAGTAGAAAGTACAGGTGTTTGTGTTCAAAATGTAAGAAGTAGAAAGTACAGGTATTTGTGTTCAGAATGTAAGAAGTAGAAAGTACAGGTATGTGGGTTCAGAATGTAAGAAGTAGAAAGTACAGGTATTTGTGTTCAGAATGTAAGAAGTAGAAAGTACAGGTATTTGTGTTCAGAATGTAAGAAGTAGAAAGTACAGGTATTTGTGTTCAACATGTAAGAAGTAGAAAGTACAGGTATTTGTGTTCAACATGTAAGAAGTAGAAAGTACAGGTATTTGTGTTCAACATGTAAGAAGTAGAAAGTACAGGTATTTGTGTTCAACATGTAAGAAGTAGAAAGTACAGGTATTTGTGTTAGAAATGTAAGAAGTCAAAGTAAAAAGTCGTCAGAAATATAAGTAGTGGAGCAAAGTACTGATACCAGAAAAATGTACTTAAGTACAGCAACGAAGTATTTGTACTCCACTACTTCCGACCTCTGACTACAGATATGTAACGTACCTCTTTGCTGGGGGAGAACTCCAGCAGTAGATTGCATAGTGTTGAGGAGGCCATGACCAAGACTTCATCCGGAGCGTTCTGCAGCAGCTACACACAGCACAACACAACATCTCACTCACTATGTGTTTATAGGAGTATACAAATGCTATACGATAATACTTGAATGGTCAGATCAAGTCTGAAATGCTCCTTGCATCACAGCAGCTACATGTGTAACATCAACAGACACATATCAAGACACAATACATGACAAACAAACAACAAACATTTAACATAACAGCACGATCACTGAGAGAAAACCTGCTCAAAGAGCCTTTACGCAGCGTCCACACGGCGGCGAGCGTTGAAGCTTGCCGGCGGGCGTGTCTGAAGCTCGACCAACAACCAATCACATGAATCTCCCGCCCCGGACACACAAGCAGCGGTTTGATTGGCTAGAGCTTGTACTGGCATGTTGTTGGACAGCCTCTCAGGTTATTATGGTCTGCTGAGGCGGAAAGTCTCTGACAGGGTGGACCAACAATCTTTGAGCAGATTTTTAACAGGTGGAGCAGTTTTGATTTGAAAGCTGTTGACAAACACTTGTACCAGGTAGCATTGCAGTACTGAAATGTAACGTATTCCCCTATAAATCCACTCCACTGACCTTCATGAGGGGTTTCCACACCGCATGGTCATGGAAGCTCGTCCTCAGCTGCTGCACCGACCGCGACAGACTGTGAAGACACCTGGGAAAGAAATACGAACGGACAAAGACAGGGAATAGTTACGTCATAGCATTTTGTAAAAGTATCATTAGGATTTTATGTCATCGTAATTCATTAATTGAACCTTTTTTTTTTATATTCAAGAGATCATTTAGGGTAAATACCTCATTTATAATATCCACAAAGAGATATACCAACAGAAAACAAGCTTAAATAGTAAAAAATATGAAATGTTGAATCTGTATATCTTTCGATAGATTATACTTATTATTTTTGAGGTAATACAAATTCATAAAATCCTGCTTGCCATGTTTTAAGATATTTAAATATTTTTGAAAGATTGCTTTGAAGAAATCTTTGGCATGTTTATTTGAAGTTCAATGTCTTTAACAGATCTGCAGGAACTAATCTGTAAATGCTTTGTAGAGATGGGACAAAAAGACTTTGTACGCACCTGACGGCGGCCAAACGGACTTTAATGCTGGACTCTGATAGGCCGCTGACTATCCGGTCCATCATGTTCTCTGTCTCTGTGATCTGAAGACAAGAGAAAAGAGAAGTGGTGGATAAGAATATAAATATGTATGCTCACGATTATATATCCAAACAAAAAATACACCTGAGGAAAGCTCACCTTCTTGCGGATGTCCTCGTCGTTGGAGCCCAGCGAGGCGTAGAGTTTGAACGCAGCTTGTCTCAGCTCGTGAGCGTGCTTCAGGTCGTGATCCAGCTGCAGAGGACAGAGAGGACAGTGAACGTCTGCATAATGTCATCAAGTCATGTTGGTTAGGATGGATCAATAAACTTGGATTTACTAAAGGAAATGTGTTTTTAATTAGGCAACAGGGAACTGTGTACTTTAGTTCTGGATTAAAGTATTTTTAAATAGTTTTTCCTAAACTAATCCTAGAATAAATCATATTTGTTGGTGCAACTTGAGTCTTGTTTGAGTAATAAAACCCGAAATATCGGCCCCTCTTAAACCTTGTTAATCACATAAAGACGGCATGTTGGTTAAGATAAAAAAAACTTGGATTTACTCAAGGAAATGTGTTTTTAAATTGGGCAACAGGGAACTGTGTACTTTAGTTCTGGATTAAAGTATTTTTTAAATAGTTGTTCTAAATTCTGATCAGAACGAATCTTAGATTAAATGAATACTTGTTGGTGTAACTTAAGTCTTGTTTGTGTAATAAAACAATACATATATCTGCCCCTTTTAAACTTTGTTAATCCCATAAAGAGGGCCCACTGAGGCCGCTGACCCACCCTCTTGTTGTCAGTGATGGCCGACACAGTACCCCCGTTTTTAGAGATTTGGGTACGGAGGAAAAGAGAGAGGGTTTGGTTTTCTGACACTTTGTGAGTCTCCTGACACCGGGGACACAGTTATGTAGAAAAAGACATCAAAAAGTGCATTTAGCATGATAGGTCCCCTTTAAGTCTTGTTTGTGTAATAAAACACTAAATATCTGCCCTTTTAAACCTTGTTAATTCCATAAAGAGGGCCCACTGAGGCCGCTGACCCACCCTCTTGATGTCAGTGATGGCCGACACAGAGCTGGGGTATTTGAAGTAGTCGGCCAGCATGGCCACCAGGTGGTCGGTGGTGCTGGCGATCCTCTGCAGCTCCACGTCGGGCTCCATCAGGTAGGCCAGCGTCTCCGCTCCCTCCACCCTCTCCTCCAGGAGATGCTCTTTACTGCACATCCGCACCAGGCAAGGCAGCGTCTGCAAGGAAGACAGGAAGTAACGTTAGATAAGTGTTGGGAAAATACTGAATGCACTCTTCCACTATGAGAGTAACATGATAACAAAGGTATCCCAACTGTAGCTGTGAACATGACAGGATGTATGATTACCTAGAAGAGCATCAGGACTGTTTTAGGCATATGATAGCTATGTGATTAACATGATGATTCAGCCTCTATGGAGATAGACATATGACAAGCATGATCATTTCTGACGTGGAGCTAATCTGAAGTAAACATTGAATACTGCTTTCTATTCCTCCATCTTGTGACTGTGTAACTCCCTCTCTTGGATATCAGCATGTGAAGGACACTGTTCAGGAACTAGTTGATGCTCTGTGTGTGATGACTACTTCCATTCTGGAGAGGATCAGAGATACATGGATCCTGAGATTGAAGCTCAAGCCTGTGACAAGTGATTATTAAAACATTTTAAGTATTCAGAAAAGCTGAATGTTTTGAAAAAGTCTGAATTTTTTGAAAAAGTCTGAATTTTGAGATTTTGAGGAAAAAATCAGAATTTTGAGAAACAGTCAGAATTCTTTGATTTTCAGAAGAAAAAAAAACATTTTTAGAAAAAGACTCAGTATTTTGTACATGACCAGGGATGTATGATTACCTACAAGAGCCGGTTGAAGCTCAAGCCGGTGACGAGTGATATTTTTCTAACAATAAGGAAGAAATCTAATATTTAATATTCCATTACTCACATACTGATGTCTATATAATATCCTGCTTTATATTTTGTCACTGTAAATGTGTAATTTAACATGTATATTTTCTACTTTTTTTTATTGCTATTGATATGTTGACATTTTTAAATGTTTACTTCTAGTCTTTTAATTTTATTGTGCAATGCCATGTCCCAACTTGGGATCAATAAAGTACTTCTTACCTTATCTTTAGTGCCTCTACTGGTACATCATCATCAGAATAATAATCAGAATAATGTCAGAAAATCCTTTTCAACAGTTATTCTATCAGAGAATGTATTAAAAGTAGGTAAACAAATCTTCACTTTATAGGAGTAACAATGTAAGTGTCAGAAAACCCTGACCTTTAGGACCACGCAGCTGTCGTCCGTCCTGATGGCGCCCGCTCGACACATGTACGTTAGACTGAGACAAAAGGAGGAGACGTCACACTCAAAGAAAACGTGTAAAGGAAACAGAGTCGTCTATCATAAATGATTTATTTCACTCACCATTTGGCTGCCGTTAGCTGCATTTCAATAGGTTGATCCCTTTGCATCATTCTGACAAATACCTGAGAGAGCAGCTCACCATCCACCAGCACTGGTGACAGAAACAGAGGACAACTGGGGTTAGAAAGTGGAACGTATAGAGGAGAAGAGAAGAAGAGAGGTAGAGAGGTAGAGAGGTAGAGAGGTAGAGAGGTAGAGAGAGAGAGAGAGAGATATATATATATATATATATATATATATATATATATATATATATATATATATAGAGAGAGATAGAGAGATATATAGAGATATAGAGAGATAGATATATAGAGAGAGATATATATAGAGATATAGAGAGGTAGAGATATATATATATATATATATATATATATATATATATATATATATAGAGAGAGAGATAGAGAGATATATAGAGATATAGAGAGATAGATATATAGAGAGAGATATATATAGAGATATAGAGAGATAGAGAGAGATATATATAGAGAGAGATATATATAGAGATATAGAGAGATAGAGAGAGATATATATAGAGAGAGATATATATAGAGATATAGAGAGAGATATATATAGAGATATAGATATATAGAGAGATAGAGAGAGATATATATAGAGAGATATATATAGAGAGAGATATATATATAGAGATATAGAGAGATATATATAGAGATATAGATATATAGAGAGATAGAGAGAGATATATATAGAGAGATATATATATATATATATAGAGAGAGATATATAGAGATATAGAGAGAGAGAGATATAGAGAGAGAGAGAGATAGATAGATAGATAGATAGATAGATAGATAGATAGATAGATAGATAGATAGATAGATAGATAGATAGATAGATAGATAGAGAGAGAGACTCCAGCTTAACACTAGAACCTCCAGGGGTCGCTGTATACCTAAAACCACCAACGGGTCAAATGTACCCGCTATATTAGAATGCATTGATTTTCAAGGTACAATGTTCTTTTATTTATCATACTAGAACTTATATCAATAGAATCTGTGGACTCTCAGCTTTCATATGATATCTAGTGTGCAGATTGCATGAAGTATAAAATATAAAAGTGTCATGTATTTTACGTAATGCGATTGGCTCTCGCAATCGGCATTTTTAGAGAGCCCCGATCGATCGGTAGAGAGTGAGTATCGGCCGATATTGATCGGCCGATCGAGAGAGAGAGACAAAAATATGAGGAAAGTAGAAGGAAGAATAGATGGGAGGGAAATGTAAAGTGAGACAAAGAAAAGTGAGAAAAAGCAAACGAAATGGTGAATAAACAAAAATGAAGGGACAAGAGAAAAAGTGAAAGGAGACAAGAGACGAGAAGCTCACCATTCACCAGTGTCATGGAGACTTGAGTGTTCTCATAAGCCAGGACTGAGAAACACTTTAACGCCTGCATCCGGACCTGAGAGGAGAGGAAGATATTCAGAGTTACCCGTGAGTGAAAGGTATTCTGGGTAAATCTACATTACTCAAACAGAGAGACGCACCTTATAAGAGGGGGAGATAAGAAGAGGGGCGATGTTCTGGATTGCGCCGTGGTTAAAAAGAACCGTCTGGTGCTCCGGGGTCTGCAGACAAAAACACAATGAATCTCCATCTGGACACAAGAGCCATGGACTCCACTGTGTGTGTGTTTGTGCGTGTGTGTGAGAGTGTGTGTGTGTGTGTGTGTGTGAAGATATACCAACAAATACCTTACAACAGTGGGAGAAGATCTGTGTGATGTACTCCTGCGTTCTCTGGGAGCGGCTCAGGAGAGACATTAGATGGGGGATCACAGTGGGGTCCTAAAACCAAACAAAAAACGTCAACAAATATAATTTAACAATGGAAATAGTTAACTTTTATGTAACGGAGGAGAGACATAATGAGCATGTTGCACCAGGAGGACATTACATACACATTGTAGGTGCCATAATGCTACTTAGCTCAAGTTCATTATTTGTATTATTATTATTCGTTTACGTCACCTTTATTTGTTTGTTGAGCACTTCCGGTAATTGTCACATGGGTGTGGTTTGGTTATATAAGTCACCTGTTTGATGTCGAGTGCAGATGACAGAGGGTGAGCTTGTGCTGTCATTTTTTCTGTTGACCGTTTTGTCCATAGTTACTATGTTTTGATTTTGTTTATTAAATATCCTTAAAACTATATTGCTTCAGTATGGACTTTCTCTTCGAAAACGCGTCACAGTTTATAGCCAAGTTTAGCCTCTCGGCGACTCAAACGTAACTGGGGATTGAGCCGCCACACACATGGAAGAAAGACATAGAATAGTTTGTTAACATTTCTGGTGTCTTTTTACTTCTTTGAGACCTAGTGAGTTCTCCTCTCTTCGGTAAGACTGTATCATTCATATTGTCACAATGTCATCCTTGAGCTTATTTAAAGTGGACCTATTATGCTATATTGGAAACATATATTGTAGGGCCATACCTATGCAAAACATGTCTGTGAAGTTGTTTGCTTAAAATACCAAACAGATCATTGTAGCCATGCCTCATACTGCTCATACCCTTCTTTTGCAGCCCTGTTGCAAACAGGCTGATTCTGCTGCTAGCCACGCCCCTTTGTAGCGTCACGCAGCTTTCCCCTGCTACGGGGAGAAGCTCAGCTAAACCCTGCGGTGATTAAATGCCATGTTATGCTCCTAACGACTTCAAGCTTTATTTCTGAAACAGTATGGAGCTCAAACCTTTCTCTCTCGCAGGGTTTACCACAAGGACACACATATTCTCTCCAGTAGCATACAGCGTTAGCTCCATGGTTTGCTCTGAGTGTTAGCATGCTTGCTAATGTAAACACACAGCATATTACTCCCAAAACACGCCGCGCATTGTTTCTGATACAGCACATAGCTTGACATGTTCTTTCTTAAGTGTTTACCGCTAGAACAGTGCCATTATATGTATTATATATATATAACAACTTTACTCTAAGCCTCCAGCAGACATCCTGCTGAATACACAGACACACAGCTGTATACGGAGACGATAGGTCGGGACGTGTCACGTGTGCCGGAGACGATAGGTCGGGACGCGTCACGTGTGCCGGAGACGATAGGTCGGGACGCGTCACGTGTGCCGGAGACGATAGGTCGGGACGCGTCACGTGTGCCGGAGACGATAGGTGGGGACGCGTCACGTGTGCCGGAGACGATAGTCGGGACGCGTCACGTGTGCCGGAGACGATAGGTCGGGACGCGTCACGTGTGCCGGAGACGATAGGTCGGGACGCGTCACGTGTGCCGGAGACGATAGGTCGGGACGCGTCACGTGTGCCGGAGACGATAGGTCGGGACGCGTCACGTGTGCCGGAGACGATAGGTCGGGACGCGTCACGTGTGCCGGAGACGATAGGTTGGGACGTGTCACGTCGGCCGGATCTCGTAAATGAAGTAATAGGAGCGAAAATTCTGGATCTGCTTGATCCCCCCCCCCCCCTTTTTTTGAGATGTGGGTACGGAGGAAAAGAGAGAGGGTTTTGTTTTCTGACACACCGGGGACACATATTTGTTTATGTTCTTATAGTTTTCTTAAAACAGTTTTCTATCTGTGTTTTTAATTCTTGTTTTACTTTTATGTATGCACCACAATACCAGATCAAATTCCTCGTACGTGTCAACCTACCTGGAAATAAACCTGTTTCTGATACCATAATATTAGAGGAACACTGACGTTGTATGTGTATATTCTATGTGTGTGTATGTAGTGTATATAGCAGACAGAACATGTAGAAGTCCACCTACAGTATAGAGCAGCTGCACGGGGGTGACTGGACTGATGAAAACCGTTCTGAGACATCGAAGACAAGCTTCAATAAAGATCAGGTCTGGACACAAGAGACCTGCGGGAACAAAACACAGGTAGGTCTCAAAATATGTCCTTCTCTGCAGCGAGTGTTTGTATACTTTATGATTTGATTGTTCTCTCCACCTTGAAGCAGGGCGGGGATGATGTGACAGTCCACCAGGGACTTGATGTTGTTCTCGGTGCCCATGGCCAGGCTGCCCAGCACCACGGCACACTCTGTCCTCAGCTCCAGAGAGGAGGAGCTCTGCTGCAGCAGGTACAGTAACCTGAACCCATGAGAAAAATACACACAGTTCATTGTAGAGGATGGTCAGTAACGTGTAAGGTTTCCGGTAGAGCAGTGTTTCTCAAAGTGTGGTCCCCTAGTGGTCCGTGAGCACCCCCTAGTGGTCCGTGAGTATATTGGTAAAGTTTCACATTTGAAATACATTACATTTATTTAAGTTTTCCGCACTCTCGCGGGAATATCTCCGCCATGGAGCGAGTTTAACTTTCACTTTCGATTGCATGATATAGCCCAGGGCAACACCTTGGTCACACATGTTGCCACGTGTTTGTACCATTTTCAGGCGATTCGTAATCTGTTCTAGAAAAACGATGTGTTTTTATTTTTATTTCAAGAAGCGTATAAAACAAACAACGGATGTCTTTTATGAACATTTATCCATGCTGGAAGTAGATTTAGATGTGTTAGGAGTTAGATAGAGATTATATATATCTACCTCAGAGAGTTAAACTTGGGCCTGCGACCATAGTTTTACTGTATTTTGTTTTGAAAATCCACAGCGGAGGTTTGTGTCGTACTATGCGGTGTATTTTGCATTTGTCTCAGTAGCCAGCGATCTGTGAGTTAGTTGGCTCGGACATAAACTCTGTAATAAATGTAGTCTACATTTCATAAGAGGTGTAAAACCTGTGAGCATTTTAAATCGCATTTGAACTAAATGCTTATAAAATCTGTAGTTGTATTTGTATTGTTGATTCAATGTGTGAACGAGGCGATATAGAGGTTAAGCTGTCATTATTAGGCTGTAATTTGTTATATACTGTTGGAGTGGTAAGTAGGCCTATTGTTTTTGGATATTTGTGGAGTTAGGTGGTCCGTGAGTGTTTTTCTTTTGGTTAAAGGTAGGGTAGGTAAGTTTGAGAAACCGGCTCGAGATACACTTTTTGTTATATTCCATGGAATGCTCTTAACATCCCGATAGCAATGAATATCTGAAGTGCTTTGACAAAAAATCCATAACAAAATGTCATCTGTGGAAGCCGTGGTACTGTAAAAAGCACGACCAATCATTTTAGCCGGCCCGGCTAAAATAACTGGATGGCCTACCTGCCTGTCAGCCTTCCATCTGTGCACAAACTTATCTCGTGCCCTCATTGGTCATGTGCGCGTTTGTGTGTGTTGGAGGAGGGGCTCTGTAAGGAAGTGGCAGATATTCTCCGGCTGTGTATTTTCAAATTCTAGCGATCTCGAGCCGGTTTCTCAAACTTACCTACCCTACCTTTAAGTGGTCCTTGGTATTAAAAAGTTTGAGAAACACTGCGGTAGAGGATGCTAGCATGGTAATATCTTCCCGAAAATCAAATGTAAGTATTTGTGCTCTAGCCTGAGCGAGCTCGAGCTATTTTTCTAGAATCTTTTAGTGAATATCTGAAATACTTTATGGTAATATCGCTTTTCGGAAATGATGACCCAGTTACTAAAATCCACAGAGCTTGTTGTGAGCAGTTTCATTTAGGAACTATTTTCTTTATTTTCTCTATAAAACATCCACCAACCGTATCACTGCACAGAAAGAAGTTACACCTACTCATGGAGGAGAAAATATTGCTATCATGAACCACTAAAACAATCCAGACTGATAAATAGCACTACAGTTAAGAGAACATATGGGTTATATATTTGAGGTGAACTGCCCTTTAAGCTATAACAGTTCTACTGTTTTTCTATTCAAGCTCGTACTTTGTGACAGTAGATTTTAATTTAGTGGCTGTCTACTTGTAAAAGGCATGTACAACTAAAGTCATACATTAAGTGTACTTGAACACAAATCTAAATGGTCAAGATTGGGGAAGGTGTGCAGAGACGTACCTTGGCACCGCTCCGAGGACGATCAGATTGGCCTTCTGCTTGTTGTTTCCTATGACTGCATTCTTCATGTCGCTGTGAAGTCAGACAAACACACAGATAAGAACCATTTTAGCATCTTTTTTGGGGCAAACGAGACACATTTGCTATAAATAACAGCTCATAACTCTTCTCGGTTGTTGTTTTTTATTGCTGCTACAACAGAACCTTGGTGACACATTTAAGAATTTTAACTTGAATTTAAGATTACAAAAATAGAAACGGCATACTTCTTACAGATTTTGCAGTAATGGTGTACCAGTAAAGTAAATATACTGACCGATACAATCATGTAGGAACAACATGTGTAGTTGAAGAAGAAGACTAGCAATTTGGGAACCTAAAATTATATTTTCAATGTTTTTAACCTAAAGGCTATTCTAATATGACCGGGTACAGTTTGACCTACTAAGCAATAATCTAATGTGTGTTCTCGTTCAGTAATGTACCGTTTCATCATACAAGAATATAAAAAAACGACACTGCAACTTGGGGATAATGACCCTTTGGGATATCATCTAAAGCTTTATTATTGATCTAATTCTGCAACAGGTCAGAAAGATGTTTAAAATGTATTCTAAAATCAACAAACGTGCTCTAATGGCGCGTTTCCACTACACGGCCTCGCTCGGCCTCGCTCGGTATGGCTGGGCCTCGTTAGGACTGGCTCACTTTATGGCGCATTTCCATTACAGTTTAGGAACTGGGGTAGTATCTATAGTAACGCAGTGTAGGCGGAGCCGTGACGTGATCTTCAATGAGAACCCCAGGAAAACAACACAGCCGTTAGCTGTTAGCACTCAGAGCTCACAGCTCCTCATATATGTTCAGAAACTAGACAAAAGTTAAACAAGTACAAACCACAGACTGCCTGTGTCATGGTGAATACAGTCGCTGCTTTATTTATGTCTGTATAGGCCGTTGTTGTGAGTGTGGACGGTCGGAGCATACACTGCGTTAGCTTAGCCAATCTCCATTTAGAAAAACACGCATTTTTTTCGCCTGCCGTCTGTCTGCAGACTTGACAAAGCATTAATTCATGGTTTTTACTAACCAGTATCAGTATGTTGTTACTTCGGCATCATTTTGAAAAGTGTATTACAATTAAATCACGGTCAAATATGTCCATCTTGTTGTAGTTGTAGCCCCCTTGCCAGCGACGCTCTCTCTAGTTTAGCATACTCAGCCCGACTCAGCCTCGTTGTCTCTGGCCCTAGACCCGCGATTTTATGAGGCCAGAAAAACTGTGAATTAGGACCCGCCGGCCGGTACTAGGCCAAGTGGAAACGCAACCAAAGACGGGCCGCTGACGTCACAGCCCTCTTAAACCGTGCTCCGCGCTGTAGTGGAAACGCGCCATTAGTACAGCACATTAAGATGCATTTTGCACGATGTTGTTCTTTGACAATAAAAAAGGACCATGAGCTGGTAGTCAGAGAATTTATAAAAACAGACAGAGGTCAAGCAGACTAATATTTCCACATCAGATCAGAGAAGGTAAACATGAAGTAGATGCACCACACACGTTTAGGACACAGAATGAGCCAGGTAATTTGCATGCACTGCATTTTGTTTTCCATGCAGCATTTTCTCTGCCCTGCAAGTGCCCCAGATGATATCATATAGCAGGTAAGTGAGGCTAACGGAAAAGTACAGCTGTAGCAGGCATTCAAGTCAGTCAGGTGCTCGGCTAGCGGAGCGCTGCACGCCGTAACCAGAGCTAGTCCCTTCAGAAGTTAAAAATAACGGATATTGTCAGGTCATCAAAGCGAGAGAGAGTGAGAGTGAGATATGAAGTCACACTGATGACTGAAATGCATTTTGAAATAGAGCGTCACATGAAAGTCTGTGTATATAAACAGAGGTCATGCTCATTCAAGCAATGCATTTCAGCAGAGAACTGTATCCGTGTTTAGCACAAATATCAGCTGAAGACACAGGTTGTGAAGAAATGCATTGAGGCCAACAAAAGTGTCAGAAAAGACAACATACTGTAGAAGTTATATAGTGTTGCTGGACTTACATGACTCCCTGCAGCACTTTCTGTGGGTCTGGGTCAAACAGTCTGTCAACATAATGGCGACTTGTGGCAGTTACTTCCTGTGTGAGGAGAAATATAACAGCAACATTAGAGACTTAATTCACTGATTTATACATTTCCCACAATTCCCAGTTAGGGCTAACTTGCTAGAAAGTACATTCGATTAAATCTGGTTTGGCTTCCCTTAACACAGACACACACAACAGATAATGATACATTTGGTGCACAGAGATCAATTAACAAGAATGTAAAAGATGAAAGGCTGCGAGAAAAGAGCCTGTCTGCATGCAATCTTAAAAAATAAGACAACAGCAATTACAAATACTTGATATCTGACTGTTTAAGTAAAATAAAAGCCTTGATAGACTAACAGTCGTGCACGCATACAGTAGCATTCATAGCAGGGCCCTTTGAAAAAGCTGTGGCTCTAGACGTGACACAAAAAACAAGACAACAGCAATTACACACCATTTTAAATACTGGATTTCTGACTGTTTGACTGGAATAAAAGCCTTGATAGACAAACAGTCATGCAGGCATACAGTAGCATCCATAACAAGGCCCTTTGATAAACTGTGGCTACACGTGACACCAGAAAGCTGTGTTTATATTACAGCGTTAACCAGAACTTTCCACCTGACCCCAGAGGACCAGAGCTCACAACCCAATGTTACTATTTGCTCTTGGTGCCTGCATGCTGCCGACAAGGTGGAGCATAAACCTGTCTGTGATATGTTCATTATATATGTCAGCCTGAATAGATATCATATAAATACATACAGTATACACAGCAACCAAGCTATTTACTATTTTATTTGTATTTACTTGCACTATTTTATCTGTTTTGTTGTGTTGCACTGTTGGAGGAGCCAATATTCATTCATTAACATATCTGCACTGTAGCTATGTACACATGACAATAAAGACTTGAATCTTGAATCTTATGTTCAAAGGCTCATACTCAACTTAGTGCAGAATGGAACTTTTCATGTCAAAAAATTGAAAAAAAGCATAAAAATAGATTCATAGACCTAGTCCTTAAATCCTGAAGAGGATCAAAGGTTAAAGAGAAATACATCCAATATACCATAAATGTGCATTTGACACTAAAATGTGCTACTCATTCTGTCCCTTGTAGGAGAAGTTTATATTCATGATTGATTATAAATCATTACAACATTTTGTATGATGGAAGGGGTTGCAGCTATGTTTAGCATATATAGTATAATGAATATGCTTACAAAAACTCTTACAAATGTATCCTAAACAATGTGCAACTACAATACAGATGTAGCTCATAAATGCAGCTAAATATCTTAATTATCTGTCATGTAATATAGGCCTAGTATCAATCTTTGTGCCAAGTTAATTGGTTTAATGCGTTTAAAGTTCATCCATTAAAAGTCAACTCATTTGAAAGTAAACAATATACAAGGAAAATGAGTTATGGACATGTTTCTTCATTTGAACTGATGAATAGTATTACTGTTTGTTTATTACCCGGCCCCTTGTCTTATCTATTTTTGCAAAAGTGGCCCCTGTGTAAAGCAAGTTGAGTCCTCTCTCTTTCTGCATGCAGCTAACTAGGGGGCGTTTCACAGTTTCAAGGCTGTGCATGTTCATTTTAGCTACCTATTTAACGTTAACTTTATCCAAGATACACCTGACAGCCATTGTCACCTGATAAAATAAATTACAATACCATAGTATAGCCAAATACTTTACTTTTTGCTGCCACTAGATCTCAATTTACCTAGTAACAAAACTCCTCTAGAAGTGTTAGCTTTGTTAGCTTAACCCCAATGCTAGTTAGCCAACGTTAGAGACCATAAGGGTAGCTAGCTTACACCATTAAGTTTGTTATTGTAATAAGCAAGATACAATAATATTTGTATTTTGTTTTTTGGATTATAAAAAAGCAAATTCCTGCTAGTTGTCTTTCATTGTGATTTTAGGAATATTTGAAACGTGTTTTGAACTGACAGCACTTTCACTGCTAGCCGTTAGCTGCTAACTCATTCCGAGTGACACTGACAGGTACGTTCGCTCCATTTGGATTCCTAAACGCACCGACGGGACGGGCGGACACATTTTGACCCACATTTGTCTAAAGTGGATTTTTGTGTCTTTTTTATTATACTTGTTTCTATTGCTCCCCTTGTTTGAGTATTATTGAGGTACACCCCCACAACCTTCTTGTTCATAATTGAATGTATAGCACGTTTAACGTTCATTGAAAAAAAGAGAATAAACTGAAAAAAATAGTCCCTTCACATGTTCAGAACGTCCCGCCCGCCCGGGTGACGCCATTACATAAAACAAGTCTCCCCATCAGCTACGTAGATGAACCGCTACAGTGCTAACTTAGCTTTGTAGGCTAACAGAAACACATAAAACCTTCTAGCTTCTTCATGAGACTGAATCAAAAGATGCTAAAACACCAACTTGTTGAGTGTGAGTACACTGTTAGTTTTCACAATAAAGATGTTGAGAGTGACACTCACAGAAAGCACACTGATGCGGAGAGGGGCCTCCAACAAACACGCCATCTCTCTTCCCCAGATTCAGCGCCCCAATCGGCGCAGCTTTCTGCAGACACTCCGCCCCCCGGAGAAGCTGTGAGAGGCTTTTTAAAGAAATAAATAACCGCAGATAAATCACACCACTCTCCTTGCAAGCGTTACGATAAAAACAATGAGGTAACTATATTATTCCTGTATGGACTCGGTTGTAAACAAAAAACAAACACCGCTAACTTGCTGACTGTCAGACTGTGGACTGGATTTGTCAATTAGGTACATTTTGTTTATAAATGTTAGAGTTAGATTCGAGTCAATAACCGACCACGAATATTTCATGCATACAAATATAAAAAAAATATATGCACACTCCATAACAGTTTATAAATATAGTTAAATGTATACTAGACAACACGTAAAATATAAAAATGCCAATCTATTTTTTTATTTCTTTATTCGAGGGTGTTGAATCTGCTGCTCACAATCTACCCAATGTGTGACGTTTTGCGCATGCGCTCTATGTAGTAGCTGCGAGGTGGGAAAATTCATTCAATCGCGTTTCTGTTTATCCGTATTTTAGACATGCATTTCTGACAAGTTTGTGACTTTACAGCGTATTAAACTACACGAACACACTCTTCAATTATTGTTGCATCGCAGTAAGTTCTAACTTTGTTATCTTGTTTTGTTTTGTTGTGTTTATGTTCACTGTTTGCTTGCACACGTTGTAACGTTATGGTAGATGAAGTGCGTAGTACAGCTAGCTTTTGCATATCATGTTATGTGGCTTATTTTAGCACTTAAGTTGCTAATAAATGGTATGTTGCAACTAGAAGTTACTACACAGGTTAGACATATTATTGCAAAGTGTGCACGCATACTAGGCTGAATGCAGCAGCCACGTTTATCAGATAAAAGTGATACAATGTGCACGTTTTGAAAGCAATTCCAAGAAGGTCAAATTAACTGTACCATGTTTTAAGTGCATGGTTGAATATGTTATGTTTTACAATTCTATTTATGTTCATGGCACTTGTACTAGTACTGGATGCACTAAACACCAATGCAAATTCCCTGTAAGTGAAAAGACAGATACATAGATAGATAGACTTGAATAACATAATTGTAAACAAACCATTATCCTGGTTGTATTCCAAAGCAACTATTTATTTAACCAAGGTAAAAACATGTATAATGTCAGTGTGTATTGACTAGTGACAACACTGTTCGTGATGAGCATGAATTCTAATATGAGTCACTTTTATAGAGTTACAATTTAAGTTATCATTATCAGAAATCAATATCTATACATTGACTGAAAACACTGTTCGTGAACACCTTCCAGTAGTGTTGTATTTGATCATTATCAGAAATCAGCAGGGAGTTTTTCAGTGTTAGAAGAGCTACTGTTTTTAAATTAGTATGCTAAATGAGTACACAACCCTGGTCAAAATAAGTAGCAGCAAAAAAAGACAGCCAGTAATAACAACAATGTATAATCAAAAGTAATTTTCCTCATGCATAATTTCAATTGTACTAACTTGATATTTAATTTTCAATTACTTCTCTCTTAAAATCATGTTATAGCTCTTCTGTCATGATGGACATTTTTCAATGTGTTAATCCCTACACAATAGGGTGGTCCTTAGTGCCATGTACATTTTCAAATTCATTTATTTTAAGCTCCAACCACCGGAATGTGTTAAGATAGTCAAGAAAACTCCTGGTGAATTTTATTCAAGTTCCAACAACATTTACCCCTCCCTCATCAACCTTTAAGTTTAGCCTCAGTAGGATGGTCCTTAAAATTGAAAGTGGGGAAGTCTAAGCTCCAACCCCCAGAATTCATTCTATTAGTCAAGAAGACTCTCCTGGTGAATGTTTTCCTCAATCTGACAACATTTACCCCTCCCTCATCGACCTAAAATTCACCAGGAGAGTTTTCTTGACTAATATAATTCATTCTGGGGGTTGGAGCTTAGACTTTCCCACTTTCAATTTTAAGGACCACCCTACTACACATCACAAAAAGAGTATCTGCATTGAAGCCAGCCTCAGTATCCCTGTGTGTGGAGGCTGACAGCCCCTCGGTGGGCACAGAGTACAAACCAACCCTCCTTGTCATTCTCCCTGCAGATCAGCAGCTAACCGGTCGTGCAGAATGAAGATTGCTGTAGAAGGCTGCTGCCATGGAGAGCTGGACAAAATCTACGAGACCATCGCCTTCCTGGAGAAGAAGGAAGAGGTGAAAGTGGAGCTGCTGCTCTGCTGTGGAGACTTCCAAGCTGTGAGAAATGAAGGAGACATGAAGTGCATGGCCGTACCCGCCAAGTACAAAACCATGCAGACCTTTTACAAGTTAGTCCTCTTTTTAATTTTGTTTCAATAAGTGCAAGATTTTAAAGGTCACCTATTGTGCAAAATCCACTTCTTCATGTCTCTTCTACATCAACATGTGTCCCCTCTTCTTCATGTCTCTTCTACATCAACATGTGTCCCCTCTTCTTCATGTCTCTTCTACATCAACATGTGTCCCCTCTTCTTCATGTCTCTTCTACATCAACACGTGTCCCCTCTTCTTCATGTCTCTTCTACATCAACATGTGTCCCCTCTTCTTCATGTCTCTTCTACATCAACATGTGTCCCCTCTTCTCCATGTCTCTTCTACATCAACATGTGTCCCCTCTTCTTCATGTCTCTTCTTCATCAACATGTGTCCCCTCGTCTTCATGTCTCTTCTACATCAACATGTGTCCCCTCTTCTTCATGTCTCCTCTACATCAACATGTGTCCCCTCTTCTTCATGTCTCTTCTACATCAACATGTGTCCCCTCTTCTCCATGTCTCTTCTACATCAACATGTGTCCCCTCTTCTTCTTGTCTCTTCTTCATCAACATGTGTCCCCTCTTCTTCATGTCTCTTCTTCATCAACATGTGTCCCCTCTTCTTCATGTCTCTTCTACATCAACATGTGTCTCCTCTTCTTCATGTCTCTTCTACATCAACATGTGTCCCCTCTTCTTCATGTCTCTTCTACATCAACATGTGTCTCCTCTTCTTCATGTCTCTTCCACATCAACATGTGTCCCCTCTTCTTCATGTCTCTTCTTCATCAACATGTGTCCCCTCTGTGGAAAGAGATTCTGAAAGTTTCAGGAACAAAGATTCTCTCTCTTTTTGTCCTGATCCATTTATATAAAAACCTGTCTGAAAATGAGCTGATCAGATTTTGGCCACTTTATGATGTCATAACGATTTTTTGGCTTGTGTAACCATTAGCCAATCAGCAACCAAGGTAACCCCCCCCACCTTATTTTCATCTAAAGTAACAGACAGCGAATCAGCCCTTTTGAAACAGCCAATCAGAGACATGTTCTGTATATATCTGAGACCTATAATATATTGATGGAAAACAGTATAATAGGGGACCTTTAAGTGCAGGCATTTAAAAACTGTCTTTGTTGCAGATACTATTCTGGAGAGAAGAAGGCTCCAATCCTGACCGTCTTCATCGGAGGGAACCACGAGGCGTCCAATCACCTGCAGGAGCTGGCTTATGGAGGCTGGGTGGCACCTAACATTTATTATCTGGGTAGGAAACAAACAAAACGTTGATGTGAATATTCTGTTTCCATCTGTTAAGTCCCAGGTCTAACTTGTTATGACCATATTTCCGTAGGTTATGCTGGAGTTATTCGCTACAAAGGGATACGAATTGGTGGCGCATCTGGAATCTTCAAATCACATGACTACAGAAGAGGTAAGGGCTTTTTTGACTGTCTAAATGATTTAAGTTATATATACACTTTGCAGTTTGTTTACAAGAAACGTGTGCTCTTTAAGGTCACCATGAGTTCCCTCCGTACAACCCTGATACCCTTCGGAGCGTTTACCACATCAGAAACATTGAGGTCTTCAAATTAAAACAGGTACATATCATACGTTGAACTTGCTCTCTTGCACAACCGTTATGTATCCAAACCCTGTTTTAGTGATGGGATTACGGCTCTTTGAAGGGAGCCAGATCTTATGGCTCTGTTCCTTTCCGAGAGCCGTTCAAAAGAGAAGTTTTTTTTTTTCAAGGGGGCGGGGTTAATAGGTTTATCTGAGAAATAATCACCAGGATAATGATTGCCAGAAATCTACTTTTACTCACAGAACAATGTATAACTTGCTATATCTCTCAGCCAGCCAAACTACTGCTCAAGCAGCATGCGTTATGCCATCATCTACGGCACATGTGCATTCAGGAAAGCAAGTCCCCGTAAAGGCGAGTGGATTTATGGCAGGCAGTGAACCAGCGATAAAAAGAACAGCTCTCACTAAGTACGACTTGGTTCCCTTTGTTCGTACCAAACAGCCGTTCAAAAGAATCGGATCGTTCGCGAACGTAACATCACTAACATGTATATTGATCCCTAAATGTTTATTACCACTTAGATCCAGATGCCTATTGACATCTTCATGAGCCACGACTGGCCTCGTGGGATCTACCGCCATGGAAGTACGGGGGAGTTGTTGAGGAAGAAGAAGTTTCTGCGTCAGGAAGTGGAGTCCAACACTTTGGGGAGTCCTGCTGCGGAGGAGCTGCTGGCTCACCTGCAGCCCAACTACTGGTTCTCTGCTCACCTGCATGTGAAGTTTGCTGCCGTTATGCAGCATCCGGTGAGAGAGACAGGTTTCCTGCAGATGGATGAATTGCTGCTATTGTCCGTATTAGCTGTTGATACATTTTGGCTTGTGATAATCCATAAATCCAGGTTAACAGACCATCAAACGAGAAGTATGGAGGAGCCTTAAAGCTCTGGGGAAAACTCATCCTAAATAAGACTCAGAACATGTTTCCTTTTAATTAATTCCACCTTCCACAGGTTTCCTGCAGCTACATGAATTGCTGCTATTGTCACTGTTAACTGTTGATACTTTTAGATAGTGATTTGAATAAGTCTGTACATCCAAAAGTAAAAAATGAAAGACAAAGAAAGAATATATTACTAAAAGTTTTATGAAGCTCTCTGTTATTATCCAACGTTTAAGAACAAACGAATAAGAAAAGCATCTTGGGTTAAAGGTTATGGTATATTCAGGGTTCTTACGGTCATTAAAAACCTGGAAAAGTCATGGAAATTCACAATGCTAATTCCAGGCCCTGGAAAAGTTATGGAAAACAATATTTTTCCCAAAGTTTTGGAAAAGTCATGGAAATGTAACTAAAGTTGCATCAAATATAATTTATATTTTATCTAATCGCCGAAATAGTAATACTATAATGATAATACATACTGTATCGTATAGTAATGAAACATAAAATGGCATTTAACTGTCGAGGTGTTTTGCTGGTGAGAGATTTGAGTTGCTTTAGCGTGTAGAAGCTAGTAAGCCTATTTGATTTGTTTTAGATAGGCACAACATGTTTCAGATGCAGACCTTATTTTCCTGTTCCATGTGGTACCGCTGAGAAAGAGTAATTTTTTTGGTCATGGAAAATGTGGTAAAGGTCATGGAGAAGTCGTGGAAAAGTCATTGAAAGTCATTGGTGAAAAAGTGTATGAACCCTGTATATTGCTTATAGTGGATTCCACCTTTTTTTCACATCATTTGTATTATTTGATATTAATTTGATATTCCTCATAATGCATATATATGAATTGAATTTTATATCTTCTAAATGCATTGAACGTACATTTTTTTTATTTCTATAGAATGTCCTCTGGACTTTATTTTATTTTAGTTCACTTTTTGTCTCTCCTGCTTTTAATACCTGTATTTATTGATTTCGTTTTTCTTGTAAAGCACTTTGAGCTGCATTTTACGTCATGAAAGTTGCTATTGACATAATAATTATCTGATATATGAATATATTGTACTAACTCAATGAATACTCTTGTCTTTAGCCTAAAGCTAACGCTGCTCCTCGTGTGACCAAGTTCCTGTCGCTGGACAAGTGTCTGCCCCACAGGGAGTTCCTACAGGTGAGAGAACGTTTAATAAAATATACAAAGCTCCCTCTCAACTTTAAGGGGTTATAAACAATGATGTATACACTTGTGTTGCAGATTGTGGATGTTCAGGAGAGACCGGGTTCATCAGAGGGTCTCGAGTACGATCCAGAGTGGCTTGCTATCCTGAAGTCCACCAACAGTCTGCAGAGGACCACCCCTCACCCCTGGAACCCTCCAGAGAATAACGGCCTGCATGAAAGGTAAACATCAAATCAAATCAAATCAAGGTTTATTTATGAAGCACATTTAAAAGCGATTGTTGGTCGGGCCAAAGTGCTGTACATGTAATAACTACAATCACATAAAAACACATTTCTATAAGCACAATAAATTACAACAGATATTTAAAAAGAAAACACAGGGAAAAGTCAGGAGTCGTGCTCCGCTCTGACTAGAAGGCCAGAGAGAAGAAGTGTGTCTTAAGAGTAGATTTAAAAACCCCTAGGGTCTGGGCCGACCTCACATGGAGGGGCAGAGTGTTCCAGAGCCTAGGGCCAGCTGCTGCGAAGGCTCGGTGCCCTCGGGTTTTGAGCCTGGTCTTGGGCACTACCAGCAGCAGCTGGTCAGCAGACCTTAAAGCTCTGGCTGGGGTGTAGCGCTGGAGGAGTTCAGCTATATAGGCCGGAGCCAGCCCATTTAGTGCTTTAAAAACAAATAAAAGGAGTTTAAAATCAATTCTGAACCGAATTGGAAGCCAGTGCAGTGAGGCCAGAATTGGGGTGATGTGGTCACGCTTTTTGTGGCCAGTGAGAAGACGTGCAGCTGCGTTTTGGACTAGCTGCAGGCGTTTAATAGAGGCCTGGTCCATACCCACATACAGAGCGTTGCAGTAGTCCAACCTCGAGGTAACAAAGGCGTTGATAACCCTTTCCAGGTCCTCAAACGATAAACGACTTGGTCTTGGCCAATAGTCGTATTTTAAAAAAGCAGGTTTTGACTACGCTGCTGACCTGCTTATTGAATTTAAAAGCGCTATTGAAGGTCACTCCAAGGTTCGTGACAGAGGGGAAGATATTATTTTTGAGGGAGCCCAGAATATCAAAAACATATAACACTGTTGGTGATGAGCCTAAAAGAGTCACCTTCCAGTAGTGTTGTATTTTATCATTACATCATCATTCTACAGTGTTAGAAGAGCTACTGTTTTTAAATTGGTAGGCTAAATAAGTACGTGCATGAAAGGTAAACATATAATTATTAATAGAATTATAGGCAGAGAAAATGCTCTCAAAGGACCCAAAAGTGCCACAAGAATCACTCATGGCTCTGAATGAATAGACATTTGGGAGTTACACTTTACACTGCATGAAAACATCTGACAAAGGATTACTAAAAGGTGTGACTAAAGCCCAGAGGAAACAGTCAGAGCAAATATGCGTACCTGTCATATTTGCAGCTGAACCTTTATTAATAGATGTGTCAACCTCCTAAAATATTTAAGGCATGGCAAAAATTAAGCAGCTTGAACAGACAGACTACTTCCTGCACAGGGTTGTATTACTTTGGGTGCTTGATGAAGCAAAAGATATGGAGTTTACCAACCATAAGATGAGTAAGTAGAGTTTTTGTATTTGAAAAAATAGAAAAAGGTTTTAAGCTAACATTTCAAGAATAAATTGTACACAATAGCATATTATCAATAAATCACACACGTCCTTTAGAAGCAATACTAAGCTTGTTTTATAGATTAGATTATGGAAAATGTTAAAGGTGGGGTAGGTAATTCACTTCAGAAACACTTTTTGTTATATTCCATGGAATGCTCTTACCTACCCTACCTTTAAGTCAATGCAGAACCCAGAATATAAGAATCTCCATTTTCAACTGCATTTTACCCATTTCACTTGCTATCACCCTCACCAAGTACTTATATGGATTGTTTTTGCCCCATCAGGTGGGACTTCAAACCGTCCGAAGCAGCGATGATGAAGGTGATAGAGGCTCTCAGCGGTGATCTCACCATCCCCGAAAACTTCAGCCAGACGGTGCCCCTGTACGACCCCAACAGGCCCAATAACCACCTCCCCCCCAGCTGCAGCACCAACCCTCAGACCACCGAGCTCTGCGCCACGCTGGGCCTCACCGACCTCTACGCACACGTGTGCCAGGGAGGAGAGGAGGAGGGGGGGAGGATGATGATGCAGGCGGGGGATGAAGACGATGATGAGGAAGGAAGTGGGGACGAACCCAGCGAGTATCCGACCGACACTTCGGGAATGTCGAGTTCTATAAACCCTGATGAAATCACGATAGAGGACGAGTGGGAGGAAGAGGAGGGAGAGGAGAAAGAGGTTGTAATGGGGGAAGAAAAGGGTGAGGAAGAGGAGGTTGTAAAGGGAGATAAGCCTCCAGTAGGGGGAGTCAATACCCCGAGTCGAATGGTTCTCCCCCTTCCCAAATCCTCACCCTCTCTTTCCAACATAATGGATTTACCTCCTCCCTCACACTCGACACCAGCAGAGCGTCACTCTCAATCTACAGCGGACAGGGAGGAACACTGTGATGAAGACGAAGGTGATGGTGATGATGGAGATGTGTCAGCAATGCGTGTCCTCAAACGTAGCAGCGATGAGATCGAGACGCCCGGCAGTAAAAGCACGACTCCCAAAATTAAACGCAGAAATCAGGTCATCTACACGGCAGTAGACGATGAGGAGGGCGAGGATTAGAGGGTAAAATGTCATTTCTACAACTCGTCAGGGTGTACAGTCTCCATTATTCATTAATGTATATACTGTCTGCTTTTCTATTCAGCTTCTACTGATGTGGATTTGTTAAAATGCCCTGTACACGACAAAAGAGAATTCATATCTGGATTTGGTTTCTAAAGCAATACCCATACAAATGCTTTCTCTTTGTTAAAATAGGATTTTTATATATTTTTAATCAAACAAATGAAATTTTAGATTTGTGTTTTTTTGTACGTGTAATTTCAAGACGACAGAAGTGAGTAAAAAGGCTGGAGAATTAAAATATCATTGTCTTTTGAAGTGAATTTCATACACTATTGTACAGTCACTTTGCAAAACTTTCAAAAGGAATTAAATAAATGTGGATTTTTGAACAAAATATTTGTCATTTTTTCCCGCTGATGTTCAGGTGTATATCAGTATGTAGTGTCTCTACTTGAAAGAGTCCTCTCCTGCTGATGTTCAGGTGTATAGTGTCTCTACTTTAAAGAGTTCTCTCCTGCTGATGTTCAGGTGTATATCAGTATGTAGTGTCTCTACTTTAAAGAGTCCTCTCCTGCTGATGTTCAGGTGTATATCAGTATGTAGTGTCTTTACTTTAAAGAGTCCTCTCCTGCTGATGTTCAGGTGTATATCAGTATGTAGTGTCTTTACTTTAAAGAGTCCTCTCCTGATGATGTTCAGGTGTATATCAGTATGTAGTGTCTCTACTTTAAAGAGTCCTCTCCTGCTGATGTTCAGGTGTATATCAGTATGTAGTGTCTCTACTTTAAAGAGTCCTCTCCTGCTGATGTTCAGGTGTATATCAGTATGTAGTGTCTCTACTTGAAAGAGTCCTCTCCTGCTGATGTTCAGGTGTATAGTGTCTCTACTTTAAAGAGTCCTCTCCTGCTGATGTTCAGGTGTATAGTGTCTCTACTTTAAAGAGTCCTCTCCTGCTGATGTTCACGTGTATAGTGTCTACTTTAAAGAGTCCTCTCCTGCTGATGTTCAGGTGTATATCAGTATGTAGTGTCTTTACTTTAAAGAGTCCTCTCCTGCTGATGTTCAGGTGTATATCAGTATGTAGTGTCTTTACTTTAAAGAGTCCTCTCCTGCTGATGTTCAGGTGTATATCAGTATGTAGTGTCTTTACTTTAAAGAGTCCTCTCCTGATGATGTTCAGGTGTATATCAGTATGTAGTGTCTCTACTTTAAAGAGTCCTCTCCTGCTGATGTTCAGGTGTATATCAGTATGTAGTGTCTTTACTTTAAAGAGTCCTCTCCTGATGATGTTCAGGTGTATATCAGTATGTAGTGTCTCTACTTTAAAGAGTCCTCTCCTGCTGATGTTCAGGTGTATATCAGTATGTAGTGTCTCTACTTTAAAGAGTCCTCTCCTGCTGATGTTCAGGTGTATATCAGTATGTAGTGTCTCTACTTTAAAGAGTCCTCTCCTGCTGATGTTCAGGTGTATATCAGTATGTAGTGTCTCTACTTTAAAGAGTCCTCTCCTGCTGATGTTCAGGTGTATATCAGTATTCAGTGTCTCTACTTTAAAGAGTCCTCTCCTGCTGATGTTCAGGTGTATATCAGTATGTAGTGTCTCTACTTTAAAGAGTCCTCTCCTGCTGATGTTCAGGTGTATATCAGTATGTAGTGTCTTTACTTTAAAGAGTCCTCTCCTGCTGATGTTCAGGTGTATATCAGTATGTAGTGTCTCTACTTTAAAGAGTCCTCTCCTGCTGATGTTCAGGTGTATATCAGTATGTAGTGTCTCTACTTTAAAGAGTCCTCTCCTGCTGATGTTCAGGTGTATATCAGTATGTAGTGTCTCTACTTTAAAGAGTCCTCTCCTGCTGATGTTCAGGTGTATATCAGTATGTAGTGTCTTTACTTTAAAGAGTCCTCTCCTGCTGATGTTCAGGTGTAGATCAGTATGTAGTGTCTCTACTTTAAAGAGTCCTCTCCTGCTGATGTTCAGGTGTATATCAGTATGTGTCTCTACTTTAAAGAGTCCTCTCCTGCTGATGTTCAGGTGTATATCAGTATGTAGTGTCTCTACTTTAAAGAGTCCTCTCCTGCTGATGTTCAGGTGTATATCAGTATTCAGTGTCTCTACTTTAAAGAGTCCTCTCCTGCTGATGTTCAGGTGTATATCAGTATGTAGTGTCTCTACTTTAAAGAGTCCTCTCCTGCTGATGTTCAGGTGTATATCAGTATGTAGTGTCTCTACTTTAAAGAGTCCTCTCCTGATGTTCAGGTGTATAGTGTCTCTACTTTAAAGAGTCCTCTCCTGATGTTCAGGTGTATAGTGTCTCTACTTTAAAGAGTCCTCTCCTGATGTTCAGGTGTATAGTGTCTCTACTTTAAAGAGTCCTCTCCTGATGTTCAGGTGTATATCAGTATGTAGTGTCTTTACTTTAAAGAGTCCTCTCCTGCTGATGTTCAGGTGTATATCAGTATGTAGTGTCTTTACTTTAAAGAGTCCTCTCCTGCTGATGTTCAGGTGTATATCAGTATGTAGTGTCTTTACTTTAAAGAGTCCTCTCCTGATGATGTTCAGGTGTATATCAGTATGTAGTGTCTCTACTTTAAAGAGTCCTCTCCTGCTGATGTTCAGGTGTATATCAGTATGTAGTGTCTTTACTTTAAAGAGTCCTCTCCTGATGATGTTCAGGTGTATATCAGTATGTAGTGTCTCTACTTTAAAGAGTCCTCTCCTGCTGATGTTCAGGTGTATATCAGTATGTAGTGTCTCTACTTTAAAGAGTCCTCTCCTGCTGATGTTCAGGTGTATATCAGTATGTAGTGTCTCTACTTTAAAGAGTCCTCTCCTGCTGATGTTCAGGTGTATATCAGTATGTAGTGTCTCTACTTTAAAGAGTCCTCTCCTGCTGATGTTCAGGTGTATATCAGTATTCAGTGTCTCTACTTTAAAGAGTCCTCTCCTGCTGATGTTCAGGTGTATATCAGTATGTAGTGTCTCTACTTTAAAGAGTCCTCTCCTGCTGATGTTCAGGTGTATATCAGTATGTAGTGTCTTTACTTTAAAGAGTCCTCTCCTGCTGATGTTCAGGTGTATATCAGTATGTAGTGTCTCTACTTTAAAGAGTCCTCTCCTGCTGATGTTCAGGTGTATATCAGTATGTAGTGTCTCTACTTTAAAGAGTCCTCTCCTGCTGATGTTCAGGTGTATATCAGTATGTAGTGTCTCTACTTTAAAGAGTCCTCTCCTGCTGATGTTCAGGTGTATATCAGTATGTAGTGTCTTTACTTTAAAGAGTCCTCTCCTGCTGATGTTCAGGTGTAGATCAGTATGTAGTGTCTCTACTTTAAAGAGTCCTCTCCTGCTGATGTTCAGGTGTATATCAGTATGTGTCTCTACTTTAAAGAGTCCTCTCCTGCTGATGTTCAGGTGTATATCAGTATGTAGTGTCTCTACTTTAAAGAGTCCTCTCCTGCTGATGTTCAGGTGTATATCAGTATTCAGTGTCTCTACTTTAAAGAGTCCTCTCCTGCTGATGTTCAGGTGTATATCAGTATGTAGTGTCTCTACTTTAAAGAGTCCTCTCCTGCTGATGTTCAGGTGTATATCAGTATGTAGTGTCTCTACTTTAAAGAGTCCTCTCCTGCTGATGTTCAGGTGTATATCAGTATGTAGTGTCTCTACTTTAAAGAGTCCTCTCCTGCTGATGTTCAGGTGTATATCAGTATTCAGTGTCTCTACTTTAAAGAGTCCTCTCCTGCTGATGTTCAGGTGTATGTCAGTATGTAGTGTCTCTACTTTAAAGAGTCCTCTCCTGCTGATGTTCAGGTGTATATCAGTATGTAGTGTCTTTACTTTAAAGAGTCCTCTCCTGCTGATGTTCAGGTGTATATCAGTATGTAGTGTCTCTACTTTAAAGAGTCCTCTCCTGCTGATGTTCAGGTGTATATCAGTATGTAGTGTCTCTACTTTAAAGAGTCCTCTCCTGCTGATGTTCAGGTGTATATCAGTATGTAGTGTCTCTACTTTAAAGAGTCCTCTCCTGCTGATGTTCAGTTGTATATCAGTATGCAGTGTCTCTACTTTAAAGAGTCCTCTCCTGCTGATGTTCAGGTGTAGATCAGTATGTAGTGTCTCTACTTTAAAGAGTCCTCTCCTGCTGATGTTCAGGTGTATATCAGTATGTGTCTCTACTTTAAAGAGTCCTCTCCTGCTGATGTTCAGGTGTATATCAGTATGTAGTGTCTCTACTTTAAAGAGTCCTCTCCTGCTGATGTTCAGGTGTATATCAGTATGTAGTGTCTCTACTTTAAAGAGTCCTCTCCTGCTGATGTTCAGGTGTATATCAGTATGTAGTGTCTCTACTTTAAAGAGTCCTCTCCTGATGTTCAGGTGTATAGTGTCTCTACTTTAAAGAGTCCTCTCCTGATGTTCAGGTGTATAGTGTCTCTACTTTAAAGAGTCCTCTCCTGATGTTCAGGTGTATAGTGTCTCCACTTTAAAGAGTCCTCTCCTGATGTTCAGGTGTATAGTGTCTTTACTTTAAAGAGTCCTCTCCTGCTGATGTTCAGGTGTATATCAGTATGTAGTGTCTTTACTTTAAAGAGTCCTCTCCTGCTGATGTTCAGGTGTATATCAGTATGTAGTGTCTTTACTTTAAAGAGTCCTCTCCTGATGATGTTCAGGTGTATATCAGTATGTAGTGTCTCTACTTTAAAGAGTCCTCTCCTGCTGATGTTCAGGTGTATATCAGTATGTAGTGTCTTTACTTTAAAGAGTCCTCTCCTGATGATGTTCAGGTGTATATCAGTATGTAGTGTCTCTACTTTAAAGAGTCCTCTCCTGCTGATGTTCAGGTGTATATCAGTATGTAGTGTCTCTACTTTAAAGAGTCCTCTCCTGCTGATGTTCAGGTGTATATCAGTATGTAGTGTCTCTACTTTAAAGAGTCCTCTCCTGCTGATGTTCAGGTGTATATCAGTATGTAGTGTCTCTACTTTAAAGAGTCCTCTCCTGCTGATGTTCAGGTGTATATCAGTATTCAGTGTCTCTACTTTAAAGAGTCCTCTCCTGCTGATGTTCAGGTGTATATCAGTATGTAGTGTCTCTACTTTAAAGAGTCCTCTCCTGCTGATGTTCAGGTGTATATCAGTATGTAGTGTATTTACTTTAAAGAGTCCTCTCCTGCTGATGTTCAGGTGTATATCAGTATGTAGTGTCTCTACTTTAAAGAGTCCTCTCCTGCTGATGTTCAGGTGTATATCAGTATGTAGTGTCTCTACTTTAAAGAGTCCTCTCCTGCTGATGTTCAGGTGTATATCAGTATGTAGTGTCTCTACTTTAAAGAGTCCTCTCCTGCTGATGTTCAGTTGTATATCAGTATGCAGTGTCTCTACTTTAAAGAG